TTTGGTGCATTCACAGGGACCAGTGCCACAAACAGAAAGACCTAATGGGTCAGAAAAGTTTGACAAATTTCCCATTTCCCTCTCCCATTTGTACAAAAGTAAGCTGGACCATAGTTGGCAGCCTATGGCCTCATTCTCATGGGTGCTGAGGTCCATACATCGTGAATCAGCCGTTTGTTTTTGCAGCTGAAGATACCCAGTTCTACAAGCAGGCAACCCCTTTAAATCTATGAAGATGCAGTGCTTGTATTTGATAGCTGTGCAGGTGAGAGACCTTGAACTCATAGTGGAATGCATTTTTGGTGTAGTTCCTCAGTGTCACTAGACCCTTTTATACGAGGGTAGTTCAAGTCACGCTGGGACTTTTAATTTTACAGGTATAAATAGGAATGCTACTGGCAGTACTACATGCAGTAGTAAGTGGCAAGTGTGTACTGATAGGTGGTACACATGTCGCAGGCCAGTCAAGAGACCGTTGATTCAGATGGCAGACATCAGTGTTAGTGTGTGCATGGAACAGCATGTGGTGATGAAGTCTCTTGTGAACAAAGGCCTAAAACCCGTGGATATCTACAGAAGTCTTCTAGCACAGTACAGTGATGAGATGCTCAGCCACAGTAAGACATTTGAATGATGTAAATGTTTCAAAGATGGCCATACGTCCGTCAGTGACGATCCTGGATGTGGTCGTTCCTGTGAACATTCAGCGTGTGGAATGCCTTATCCTGGATAATTGTCGCATAACCTGTCGGGAAATTGCACAAGAGACAAACCTTTCTGTGAAGAACACAATCATTCACAAACATTTGAATTTTCAAAAAGTTAGTGCACGCTGAATACCAAGATTACTGTTATGTTCTGAGTGATGGGCATATGTTTCTGCGGAAAAAAAAAAAAAAAAAACGGCCTGGCTTGATCACTGAGGGCATCCTGTTTCTCCAGGACAATGCATAAGCTCATACTGCAGCACATTACAGCAACTGGGCATTGCCATCATCCCCTTTACAGCCTGGACCTGTTTCAGGCTGTAAGGGGGCATTTCGACACTGATGACGAAGCAAAGCAGGCTGCCTTAGGATGGTTCAGGCGCAGGGGCGTATTGACCATTTGGAAACTTGGGCACTGCCCGAGGGCCCCAGGGGCCCGTGGGCAGTAGGGGGCCCCATGAGATGCCCCTGGTACCTTTTTCATAGGCTTTTTTGAGTTTGGGCAAGGACACAGGGGCCCCACATGATCCCCTATTGCCTGGGGGCCCCATGAGTTGTCAGTCTGACCCTGTTCAGCGTACTATCTATCTATCTATCTATCTATCTATCTATCTATCTATCTGTCTGTCTATATCTATCTATCTATCTATCTATCTATCTATCTATCTATCTATCTCTCTATGCCAAAGCTTTCCAGGCATTAGTTAAATGCTGGGTCAAGTGTATAAATGTTGCAGGGGACTATGTCAAAAAATAAATGCAGTTTTCTCTGCTCGAAAATTGTTATTTTATTATATAAACTCAAAAGTCCCAATTTGACTTGAACGCCCCACGTATGATAGATTAATTATTTTTAGTTAAATTGAAATCTGTAGCCCAATACCTGGTTTTAATTAATGGTATTAATACATATACATCAAAATGAAAGTACAGCATTACTGCAAAATAAAAGGTGAATACTAGTACATAATTAAATTATGTTACTTGATCTTATAATGCATACAATTCTTACAGAAATATTACTTTAGTTTAATCTCTTTTTCAGCAATAACATCTTGAATAGAAACCCTTATATTTGTGCAAATAAGATTGTGTCCTGTAAAGAGGTTCCCTTTGTTACTGTGCCTGCATCTGCCTCAGACTGCGTGCGCGCAGCCTATAGAGGTGTATGTAGATGCAGCAGCTGCATGAGCACAGCTGCATGAAGCCGCATGTCAATATTTGACATGAGGGCAGGAGCGGGTGTATTGATCCAAATGAAAAAACTGTCTGGGTTTTTGTATTTGCTCCTACTCACATTTCAAATTTGTATATGCAGGTGTTTCCATGCATCTGCATTCTCTTCTATATCCTGCCCGCACATAGCCTGGGGTGGATGCAGGTGTAAAAACAAAGGGAGCCTGCACACAGGACTGTGTCAGTGCTCATCTGAACTACAGAACAACTGACAACTTAAAGTGGTTCTAAAGGCTCAAGGTTTTTTACTATTCTATGCATCAAGGTAACAAACCTTCTGTGTGCAGCCCCCCGCCCCCTAATTCTCACCTAAGCCCTTTCTCGATCCAGTGATGTGCACTGGAGTCTTGGCTATCCTGGGACTTCCTCTTCTCATTGGCTGAGACAGAAGCGGGAGCCATTGGCTCCCGCTGCTGTCAATCACAGCCAGTGAGCAAATGAGAAGAGAGAGCGGACTGGGCTGAGCCGAGGATCTGTGTGTGAATGGAGCAGCAGGTGCCCCCATGGCAAGCTGCCTGCTGTGGGGGCACCCGACAGGAGGGAGGGGCAAGGTGAGCCTGCTGGGAACCTGAGAAGAGGAGGATCCAGGTTGCTCTGTGCAAAACTACAGCACACAGGAGGTAAGTATAGACATGTTTGTTCTTTTTTTTCCATAAAAAAATAAGGCTTTAGAATCACTTTACAGCTTCCATAAAAAAAAAAAAAAATAACAGGAGATTGAGAAATAAAACACACACTGACAGTCTTTTTGCTGGTGTTTAGCTGAAGCTAAAACAAATATATAAAGTTCAGTGAAACTAGATCGGAAACCACATCACTTCCCAGAACCCTTGTAAGAAAAAAAAAAGTGGCAGTTTTATGACGTCTCATTTCCTTTTATAGTGTGTGGCTGGCGGCAAGAAGACAAACTACTCACAAGTACAAAGGGACCTATTAAGTTTTGTCTTGTTGGCTGTGATTGTATACCCAGCAGCTCCTAAAATGTTCTAATATAACTGTAATCTGTACAAGTGCCCCCAAAAATTCACAATTTTAGGGACTGTAGTGTGCATAGTTCCTATACTACGGTCCCCCATCACAGCTATAGACCAGCAGAGAAGTGCAGGAGGGGGGTAGGTCAGCTCTTGACCTCAACAGGAAGAGTCATCACCTACATAGCAGAGCAGACAAGCTGTATATCACCTGCTTTATAGTGGTGTTCAGGGGCGGACTGACAACTCATGGGGCCCCCGGGCAATAGGGGATCATGGGGCCCCTGTGTCCTTGCCCAAACTCAAAAAAGTCCATGAAAAAGGTACCAGGGGCATCTCATGGGGCCCCCTACTGACCCCGGGCCCTTGGGCAGTACCCGAGTTTCCAAATGGTCAGTCCGCCCCTGGTGGTGTTGTTCATATCGTATGGCTGTTTTATCAAGTTTTACAAATTGTCAGGTGCACTGTAAAATGTACATTCTATTCAAACTGACAGATTAAACATGAAACTACAGAGGACAGTTTTTTTATGCTGGCATTTGAACGTATTTCATCTCAAAGCTCAACGATCCGAAACACTTAACATGTAAAATCCCATTATTTCCAATGGCCCCTTATTCACATTTGAGAATTTTCTGTCCTGTAGCAAAATGCCTGCCACTTAAAAAAGGACTTGAGCAACTTTTCAGGCAGATCTGAGTGTTTTGTCCCCATAGACTTTAATAGAAACCGCCTGAACAGTGGGAATGAGTGTTTTTTTCAGGCATTTTCAGATCAAACTGATATTTCTATTTTTTTTGGCCACAGCAAAAACATCTAAATGAAAAATGCCTGAAAAACACCTATAATATTTGCAAATCTGCTAAAAAAAAAAAAAAAAAACACTAAAAAACTCCTGATAAAAAGGCTTAAAAAATGCCTGAAAACACTCAGCTCAGTGTGAACTAAACGTAGGAACAAAAATACAGTAAACAAATGCTGCCATCACAGAAAGGACTGGTAGCTGCAATAAAGTACATTACTGGATTTAGATACACTTTAAAGTGCATGTATAGCGAAAACTTTTTTTTTCTAGTTTGGGTAGAGTAGGAAAGGTTTAAAACCCTGTCATTTTACTTTTTTGATGTCTTGAGGAAATTCCCCTTCGCTTTCTGTCTCACAAGCGGAACAGGTAGAGAAAATCTCCCCATCTCACTGCAAGTGTCCTCCAGAGTAAGTGTTCCCATTGGAAGGTTTCCTCTTCTCTTTTCTTCTGGGGTCAACTTTGACATTTTGTATTTCCCCTCACTTTCTTTTTCTGTGACAATCGTCAACGGAACAGACAGAAGGGTGAAAATCCTTAAAGGAGTCATAGCAATCAAAATTTGTCGTACACGTCCCCAGGGGCGGACTGACAACTCATGGGGCCCCCGGGCAATAGGGGATCATGGGGCCCCTGTGTCCTTGCCCAAACTCAAAAAAGCCTATGAAAAAGGTACCAGGGGCATCTCATGGGGCCCCCTACTGACCCCGGGCCCCTCGGGCAGTGCCCGAGTTTCCAAATGGTCGTTCCGCCCCTGGACATCCCCACTCTATCCACAATTAAAAAAAATCTCAATAAAGAAATCCTCCTGCGCTGCCAATAGCCCTAAAAAACCCTGAGTGGCCGCAAACACCTAATATAACCCCAATAGTGTATAAAATGAAACTAACTGATGCTGCGCTGCTCAATAAATGTAAAGTAAACCAACCTGCAGTGTAAATCATAAGGCAAAACAATAATATTTGTGACCAAATATGGTGATCAATAATAGGCGAGCAAAATTAATTGTAAATAGATAACATGGATCACTCAAAGAATACAAAGAAAAAATAAACCCACACAGTGTGAATAAAAGTGACAGTATAAAAGCAAATCACAGAGCAAATTAATAAACACATTCATGACCAAAAAAAGTGATCAATAAGTGAGCAAATATTAGTGAATAAGTAACATGGATGAAATAAATATATAGTGAACAAATAAATGTGAAAATGCAACAATAAAGTGCACAGTTCCAATGAATCTGTGTATCTTCAGCAAAAAAAACGTTTCTTGGGAGTGCATGTGATCAGCACAGGGCCAATCAGCGCTGTCCAGATGGAGGGTCAGGGGCCCTGCAGCCTCATAGGACAATCAGAGGAGAATGAAAACTCCTCCCACAAGCTTTAATCAGTGTTCTGCTGGACACTGATAGAAGTCAAAAGACTGTTCAAACTGCTGAGGAGAAAAAGTATTTAGCAGTTTATATTTACTAAAGCAATTGCATTTCCATGTTCTCTGTACTGTGGGAGACAAGATATAGTGAATGCAGAGTCCTGGGTTTAGTAACACTTTAGTACACTAAGCTATAGTGCTGTGTAAAAAGCTGTTGTTAACCACTTGCCCTGCAGAGGATTTACCCCCTTCCTGACCAGACCATTTTTTGTGATATGGCACTGCATTACTTTGACTGACAATTGCACGGTCATACAACACTGTTAAATTAAATTTATGTCTTTTTCCCACAAATAGAGCTTTCTTTCGGTGGTATTTGATCACCTCTACATTTTTTATTTTTTGCACTATAAACAAAAAAAGAACAACAATTTTGGAAAAATAACAATATTTTTGACTTATTTTCTATAAAACATCCAAAAAAAATAAAAAAAACCTAATTTCGTCATAAATTTAGGCCAAAATGTATTCTGCTACATGTCTTTGCTAAAAAAAAAACCAATAATGGTATATTAATTGGTTTACTTGAAAGTTATAGTATCTGAAAATGGCGGTATATATAGTGGGATTTTGTTTTATATACTAGTGATGGTGGCGATCAGCGACTTATAGCGGGACTGCGGCGGGCATTCTGACACTGGGTGGGAACCAAGTGCGACTGACATCCCAATGACACTAATACAGTGATCAGTGCTAATAAAAAGCACTGAAACTATACTAATGACACTGGGCAGGAAAGGTTTAACATCTGGACCGCAGCCACACCACTTAGCAGCCTGAATGGATTCCTCTCCTCCAACTACTGCAGCTGTTAATAATCGGGAGGAATAGTAGGGTGGACTCCTGTATGTACTCATCTGCTGTTGAATTCCAGCATCTGAATGTGCCACCTTGTCGCCGCTGAACTCCGAGCAGGGAGGAGAGCGGAAAACACTGCAGGTCTACAGGGGAGTTGAAATGAGAGCCAACCTTTCATTTGGGTCACTCGTTTTTTACCAGGAAGAGTTGGGTAGCTCCCGCTCTCAGTGGAAACCTTCTATGCCTCCCACCCTCCTCCCTGCTCTGAGTTCAGCGGAGGCAAGCCGGTACATTCAGAAGAGGAATCCTTCCTTCTATTCCTCCCACCCTCTTCCCTGCTGTGACTTTAACAGCAGTGAGAGGGTGGAGCTGTGATATGGGGGGCTGTGAAGTGAGAGGGTGGAGCTGTGATATGGTGGGCTGTGAAGTGAGGGGGAAGGGAGCTGTGATAGGGGGGACTGTGAAGTGAGAGGGGGGAGCTGTGAAATGGGGGGTCTGCAAGAGGAGGGAGCTGTGATATGGGGGCTGTGACATAAGGGGGGGAGCTGTGAAATGGGGGACTGTGATAGGAGGGAGTTGTGATGTGAGAGTGGGGAGCTATAATACTGGGGGATGTGATGTAAGAAGGAGAGCTGTGATATGGGGGGCTGTGATGTGAGAGGAGGGAGCTGTGATGTAGGGGGTTGTGATATGAGGGGGGGGAGCTATGAAAGGATAGGAGGGAGCTGTGATGTCAGAGTGGGGAACTGTGATATTGTGGGATGTGAAGTGAGAGGGAGGGAGCTGTGATATGGGGGACTGTGAAGTGAGAGGGAGGAGCTGTGAAATGGGGGGTCTGCAAGAGGAGGGAGCTGTGATATGGGGGGCTATGACATGAGGGGGGGAGCTGTGAAATGGGGGGCTGTGATAGGGAGTTATGTGAGAGTGGGGAGCTGTAATACTGGGAAATGTGATGTGAGAAGGAGAGCTGTGATATGGGGGGCTGTGATGTGAGAGGAGGGAGCTGTGATATGAAAGGTCTGTGATGTCAGGAGAGGGGGAGCTGTGATGTAGGGGGTTGTGATTGCTACAGGACTGTGGTGTCAAGGAAAGACTGTGATGTGAAGGGGGGCTGTGATGTAAGCAGGGCTTTAATGTTGGGGGGCTCTGATGTGAACGGGAGTTGTGATGCACGGTGGGGCTGTGATGGGAAAAAGGGGACTGAGGACATTAATGTAAAGGGAGCTTTGATGTGAAAGACTTGTGTAATAGAAGAAAAAATGAGTTTCGGAGCTCTGCAGAAAGAAAATGTTACCAAACGGACCTCCGTGAATTTTAATTCAGTATCCCTGCTCTAAAGGAAATGCTGTATAAATCCACTTTGTGTACCAAATGCTTTAGCAAACCCAGTTATTACCTTGTAAAAGCAGAGGGACCCAGCAAGCTCCACCCTCTACAGGCTGCCTGCAGATAACTACAGAAGGGGCAGACTTAGGACCGGTCACTGTGCACAAGGACAGAGAACAGTAGTGACTGGTCTTTATTACATGAAGCGCCTATACAGAGACACAGTTTCACACTGGATTACTGTACAGATCTGGACAAAATGCCCAATGCTCACTAAGCTTCAAGGAAGAATACACAGTCCTCCTGTATTTAGACAATGTTTGCTTGGCGCTCAGCTTTAAGTCACATACAGCCCCTATCTGTATAATTCTCCTGCACATCACTGGATGTTTGAAGCAAAAAGCACATGATTTTAGTTGACTTTATTAAATAACCCTCTCTGCTTTTCAGCGTTGCATCAGTGTCTCCTCAATAATATTTACTATTATGCTGTTTTTAGCAGTGCATAACATAAAATGATATGCTTTCACTCTACGGCACAATTCTGTATTCTGCTTCCGGTTCTTATTTTCTATAAGTGTAAAGTGATTATAGAAATTAGTCATTGGAAATACTTTAAAATACTGTAACTCCCCCTATATTTTAAAGTATATGTGAACCCTTACCTTATAAAACAACCATACAGTTTAAAATAGAAGGGAAAGGCAAAACATTTGTGTGTAGTTATAAAAAAAATGTAATTTAAAAAGTATAAATACATTTTTTTCCTTTTTTATAAGTGATCACATACCCTCTGTTGTCAGCTGCATAAGGAGCTTAGGAAGCTGAGGGAGGAGAAACAGCAATACATTGATCTTCTCATGCAGAGAAAAGGGGGGGCGTGTCAGGACAATTTTAATCATTGGAGGAGAGCAGACTGAATTCTCAGCACTGCTAAAAACTGACCACACTGTGCTCTCCTGCCTAGTGTGGTCAGTTTTTGAAAGGAAAGCAGAGGGACTGGAATGGACATCGGGAATTTCACACAAAGGAAGCAATACAAAAAGTACAGAATCCGTTTTCACACAAGTGCAGCAGGCACATATCAGGAATATGGAGTGTTGGGTTTACATATTCTTTAACTCTATTGTACAGATTTTGCCGTTGTACAATTTGCATTTTATCCAACATGCAAAGAATCAATAGAAATCCAAACCAATCAGTCATGTCTGTTTCTAATTAAAAAATGAAGTAATTCTGACCCTCATATTGATGGGCATATACATTCAACTGAGAAGTCAGACTAGCGATAGCCAGCATACTTTCCATAATCCTTGACCGTCTTTTTTGAATACCATGTCATTTGCATCTACTTCTTCTTGATTTTTTTGCTTTTACATAATGTAATGGAATCTATTTTTTTTCCTTTGTAGACTGCTTCTGATATCAGTCACTCTACTGTCTATCTATTCCATAAACCTTCTATTGAAATGTTCCCAGGAAACAGGTAATTTCTAGATCTTCAGCTTTACCATACAGATGCCATGTTTATAATGTTTGAATTACTCACTTGTTGCTAAGTAAACTTTAAATGTTATATTTACTACATATAATTACATGTTGAGGTAGAAATAATGCGGCCGTACAATTTTATATAAGCACGCTATTTACACAACAGCACAAGGGTTCTTTCAGCATTTTCATCAGTAGAATTCCATGATCCCCCTTTTTGTGGATGATTTAGTACTGTTGTGATATTCTGAACATCAGCATTCTTGATCTCACTTTAAAAAATAGACGGTTCTCTTGGGGCTGATTAGCTGTTCAAAGTGAAAAGCTGTTCACTGGTTTCAAAAGCTGAAGTGTAATCTACTTATATTTTGCCTTTCCTGGTTTACCACCACCCCACATAAAAAATTTTGTTGAAATTTTCCAGTAAATCTTTTCCGTTTTTATTACATCAGACCCAATGATGTCATCACTGGATCTCTGTGTTTCTCTATGCTATGCAGATAGATCATGGCTGGCAGGAGTGACTAGCAGGATACTGTGCAAAGCTTCCTGAAAACCTCACAGCACCCTGCTTCAGTTACTCCTCTCAAGAGTTATGCAAATATCAAAATGCTTTGATGGGTGGAGGTCAGTCTGGAGGCATGGATGATCCTAGCACGTTGTATTTGTATGCAGGCTGCCCTACGTAATGTTTATATGTGATGCTGAGCCTCCACAATTCAAAAAACTGAAATCCAATCAATAAAAAGGGCAGGCTAGGGACACTTTAGCTGGGGAGGAAAGTTCTAGATGATACTGGACGTCCCTTAGTCAGGAAATGATGTATGCCCTGACATGCAACAGCTTCTAATGCACACTGTGAGAAACTCAGAGTTTGCAGTACTATCAGAGTGAGCAATTTCAGTACAGAAGAGGAGCCCCTGCTCTTTGTGTTATAAGTGATGATGTCATAGAGCAGCAATCGACGGTGCAATGAAGTAAAGCAGCTTCGAGGGACAATGGATCAGATTTAGGGACCCTGCTCAGGCAACTGAAGCCCCGTGGGTTATATACTGCTGTCACTGAAGGTGCAGGCTAGGGATGAGTCCATCACAACTCACTCCAGCAAGATTCCTCCTATGAATGCAACTAGTCCCTCGAAGCTCATTGTGAAGTTAAGAAAAATGATCCACTGCACACCTCACCCGGCTATATGATTAGCAGGTAAACGCAGCCTCAGCTCGCTCCATCAAGGCCATGCCCCAATGTGTTTCGTCCCGCCCCAGGGTTTAATCATGGGGACCTTGAAGGAGCAAGCTGAGGCTGCTTTTACTAGCTAATCATTTAGCTGGGTGAAGTGTGCAGTGGCTGGGATACTTCTGTTTAGGTTCACAGTGAGCTTTGAGGGACAGTTGCATTAATAGGAAGAAGCCTGTGGGAGTGAATGGTAGGGTAAGTTTTTCACCCTATTAAAGGGCCAGTGCTTCCACTAGGCAAACTAGGTGGCCGCCTAGGGCATACTGCCACCAAGGGGTGCCTGGGCGCAGCACAGGCCGGCATTCTCTTTGTGAGGGACATCGCCACATCATGAATGATCCTTTAGCTGAGAGGAGGGGCAGCAGAGGGGAGGAAGAAAGGACAGAGGAAGATGCCGGGTGTCTGGGGCCAGTGTAGCAGTTGAGCTGTCGCTCCTTCCAGTATTCCTCTCAGACTCAGTCCCTTACTGCAAGCCTGCTGGCAGCTGTTGATCACTGTGGAGTTCCAGCCCTTCTCTTCCAATTCATCAGCAGAGGCAGAGCTGTGCCTGCGGAGGAAGGTAATGTCGCACTTTGATGTCTCCTGTCTGTGCGAGTGTGACCTGGCCAGCTGGACACCCATCACATGTGCAATGTGTCAGTGAGTGATGACATCATCACAATCCCACAGTGTCTGCTGATCTGTGTCGGTGGTGGTGTGTTGTGTCAGATCTGTCACTGTGTGGGCTTGCTCAGTTCTGCAGCGTGATTTCCCCCCCCCCCCCACCCCCCCCATTGCCTGGGGAATTCCAGCCTGGGATCTGTCAGAGTGTTGATCCATCATCCTCCACTCACTGCAACTGTCACCCTGCCACTGCCAGCCACAGATACAGTCCATCTGTGACACTGATTCTGTCTTTAATATTGTTGCTAATAGCATCTTGTGGCACTTCATTTTGCACATTAAAAGGAATTTATCAGTTTCATGTTTTGTTGATTTAATGTTTTCTACTGTTTTCAAACTTTTTTTGGGGGGGGGCACAAGTAGCTAGTCTTGCATAGGGCACAAAATAGTCTAGCACCGGCCCTGCCCTATTCCCCCTATTAATTTTAATCCACATAGTGTGGCCTCCAGTCTCTTCTCTTTTCTCATACTTTTACATGTAAGTACTTATCTGAACTTGAAAATGGAGATAAAATGATAAAAATGGTGATTGTTAGTACATTGTGACTATGTATATAAAGTATCTATGTGATTCAATTCATATTTAAAGTGGTTATAAAGGCAAAAGGTTTTTTTTTATCTTAATGCATACTCTGCATTAAAATATAAAAATGTTTCAAGAGTTGCTCCCCGCCAACTCCACTTAAACACCTGAGCCCAATCTCAAACCAGCACTGTGCCAGTCTGAAGCAGCTCTTCTCCCCTCTTTCTCTTCTCATGAAAGATTTAGCATGAGCCACTGGCTCCTGCTGCTCTCAGTCAAATCCAGTGAGGAGGGAGCAGGGGACAGGGCCGATCCATGCTGTGTGTGTCTATAGACTCACAAAACCTAGCATGGGAGTGAGCCTGTACAAATGCCACCATAGCAAGTGGCTTGCTATGGTGGCACACGGAAAAGAGGAGAAGCGAAGATCACCAGCAAGGAACCCCAGAAGAGGAGGTTTGGGGCTGCTCTGTGCAAAACCATTGCACAGAGCAGGTAAATATAACGTTTATTATTTTCAGAAAAAAGAAGCTTTAAAGCTTCAGGCAAACAGCTAAGTACACAGATGAAGTACATATATGTTTTACCTGCCAAATAATTTGTATTTCTGTCCATCCAATCCTGAGATTTACACCTCTCTGTGCCACAGCATAGTCCACTCTAGTAGGGAAGGGGACCTAATCTTTCTTGCTGTAGTTTCATTTTCACTTACAGGTCAACTTCCCACTCCAATTTCTTGACTGGACAGTGAAAAGAGAAGCAGCACTCTGATGAGCTTATCTTCCTGTCACTCTGCTCTCTCCCTGATAGCATGCTCCTTTCACTGCAGCACACCTGCTTGGCTCCTTGTGTTGCTTCTTCCTCCTTCTCTCCTCTTTGCTGTGCAAAGTAGAGTATACTGAATGAGATCTATACCAAGTCAAATTCAGGTGCCATTTGCCCATTTAAAGTGCAGGTAATATCATCCTCTGCAAAAAACAATGTAAATAGGCTATGTCCAAAGCTGATTGAATGTAAAACAATAATTGATTTTAAATGGAAAATTCCCAACCAAGCTAAGTATTATAGGACATTTCTATGATATTTAGCTCCATCTAATGGCCAAATGCAGAATTTTATTTTCTAGATAATTGATTTACATTTGAACAGCACAGGATATAGTTTACTAACATTTGTTTTTTTTGCCTCATTTGCACAGAATGAATGCAAATGCACTTTCACTGTTCAACTGGCTATGCAAATTCTTTATAAGTCAACCCCTATGTTTGTTTGCTGAAAAAAACAAGTGCTGTTCATTAAAAAAAAATGTATTTCCTGTTGCAACCACATTGAATTAATTAAAACCCCAGAACTGATATAATTACAAAAAATTTGTCCTGTTTTGAAAAAAAAATGCTTATTCATTGTGCTTTGAGTAGATGGCTTCTAACTCAATAATGTGCTCAAGATTAAAACTGTTGTTTTCATTTAACCAGGATGTATGGTATATGAGAAGCTAGGAGAACAAGTATTTGGCACAACAGGAAGGTTGCTAGTGTTCGGATCAACATCTCTTCAGAATGTTGGTGGTAAGAAAATGACTGATTTAGATTTCATAATAATAGTACAACATATGTTTTTCATTTTTCCTAAAGGTTTGCAACACCAGGACATAAAAGTTACATTATAGGAATGTGGGAGTCCCGAGAATATAATACGAAGCAATAAATGTAGATGTATGTCCTGCTCTACAGACCTTGAAGTATACAGTATTGTTTTACTTCGTCATGCTGCCTATTACATTGTGCAAGCTTCTACTGCACAAAAAGGAAGCAACAAAATTACAGTTGCTAGTTGTCTTTGAAAAAAATACTAGACAGGAAATCCACTATAATTAGCACACTTTGTGGTCATTTCCAGATACTTTTACATATTTGTCTATAAATGCTATCTAAACAACTTTTATGGAAATTAAAGCTGAAGTTTAGGTTTGGTCATTTTATAAAGTTACATTGGTCCAGTTTGGACCAAGTAATTATGTATGGGCCATACCTGTGAGATCCCCGTGGAAGCTAGAAATCACATTCATAGATACCACTACTACAGTCATTGCTGTTAGCTTCCAGGCCAGCCTTCTGTTTACTGAACACAGGAGGTCTAACTCTTGGCACAGGAGCTATTCAGAGAACACCTTGCATTTTCTCAATGAATGCAAAGTGTTCTCTGATTGGACAAGGTGGTGATTGTGATGTCACCACGCCACCTCTACAACTCTCCCATCAGAGAATGTTTTTTATTCATTGAGAAAATGCAAAGTGTTCTCGAAATCAGACTTTCTCAACCAGGGTGCCCAGGCATCCTTTCATTCAGGGGTGCCTTGGCAAAATGCCTAAAAATTGCCCAAAACATGTGTACAAGTCAGAGGTGAATCAAGTGGGTTAGTTACACAAAGCCATGGGTTTGCATTGTGCATCATTATGACCTTCTAGCTGCTGGCATCCCAACAACCAATAACATCATCAGTTGATAAGGAGAATGGTGGTCATCTGCAAAGCATCCTTGTTTGACACTCCTGTGCCACTCTCCGTCTTTGCTGTGGCCACATTAGCTGAGTGATGGAGAAAACTAGGGGAAGAGAAAGAGAAACATTGGAATACCAGTCAGTACTAGTGTGCAAAAGTGTATTTGATCTGGAAGAATAAATCAGCTCTAACGTTGGGTGTCCTACGTGTATGGATGTTGACGCAGTATGTAAAACTATTAGAATAGTTTTTTACATTTTAAATGGGGTGCCTTGAGACTGTCCATAATTTTAAAGAGTGCCATGAAATTGTCCATAATTTTAAAGGGTTCCTTGACTGAAAAAAGGTTGAGAAACACTGCTCTAAATGATGACTGTGCCAAGAGGCAGACCTCCTGTGCTCACAATGCAGCAAGACAGCCACTCAGCACAGGACCCAGAGGTTAGTGGAAATCACTATAGTAGCAGTGCCTGGTACAGTGATTTCCAGCGTTCACTGAGATCCCACTGGATTATGTAAAAATTGCCATACCTAAACTGTAGCTTTAAAGTGGTATTAAAGGTTCAGCTTAAAAAAAAAATAACAAAGATGTCATACTTACCTGCTCTGTGCAGTGGTTATTCACAGAGCAGTCCCGATCCTTTTTTTCTCGGGTCCCTAATCAGTGATCTGATTGGATGGGATGTTATAAAATCTGGATTGGATGTCATCAGACAGTGTGCAATTTTCTGCTTTCCAACCCTTTACAGCAGCCTTTCTCTAATGGTGTACCCCTGAGGAACCCTTGAAATCTTCATGTCTTGGGGAACCCATGCTAAAACCAATTCATTGGAGGTCAGTGGGAAAAATGCCCCTTACCGTGATAGCCAGTAGGAAGAATACCCTTACAGTGGTATTCAGAATGGCACTTTTTGCAGCCAAAAAACTCAATGGTGTCATGCAGCTGTTTTGGCTCTGGAACTATGCAAGCACTTTCAAAATGGAAGAACCCCTAGCAATTTCTGGAGGAACCTTAGTTAGGAATGGTTGGTTTGTTGAGTGTTATTGTAAAGCTGGGGCATTGCTGCTCACTCTGCATCCTTCAGTGGTAATTAAAGGCCTGACTGCTCATAAATATGAGTAAAACATTGCTATGGATATTGTTAATATTTTTCTCTCTTTTACAGCAATGCTCAGCTATCTGTTTATAGTTAAGAATGAATTACCCAATGTCCTTAAATTTCTGGTGGGAATAGAAGATTCAACGTAAGTCAACTTTTTAGATACTGAGCATATTCTATTTTATGATGTGAATTAAATTTATGTATTGATTACATTTTAGCTTAAAACCCATGACAAATCATCAGTCCGCTAAATATATAGCTTCTTTTAATACAAAATTTGGAAATGGTCTCATGCCAAGTCAATTATCCTTAAAATACTATATGTAAGAAAGTGCAGCACTAAAAAAAAAAAAAATTATATTGCAGAATGGTACAGTGCAACACATAAAAGTGCAAAAAAACATTAGTAAATGCGAAATCTAAAAATCAAAGAATATGGTAAAGTGCATCATAAATGTAATGAGCTGAGTGAAACAGTAAAGTGCATCAAGTAAAAGCATGAAAATATCAGCTAAACAGCTCAAAAAGCAAGTGCCAAACAATAAAGTGTATCACGGATAGAATCTAAATACAATAATGTCCGTGGTGATCCGTGAAGTAAAATGCAGTAGTAAATGATGTTACAATAAACATATAAAAACTGAGATATATAAATAGGATACAACTCTACATCAATGTCCGTGGTTAAACGTGCTATTTATATAGTCAAATATCCATAAATGGAAGCAATTGTCTGTGAAACCATAAGGCGCAGTATAATTAAGGTGTAGAGTGCAAATGTGCTGATGATCACACAGAAGAATCCACCACCTCTCTCGGATGTACACTCACCAGATGAAAACTGGTAACAGGCAATCAAGCATTAAACATCTGAGAATGGAAGGCGGCCAAAGGGTTAAACTGGACCAAATTCGTCCTGGGCACTCGGATGGGAAGTCAGCCCTTGTCCTAGAGGGAATAGCTCACCTGCTCTTGTCCTCTAGAGAATAGCTCATCACAGGAGCCAGTAAAGTCGCATATAGTGTAGTATTTATTAGAACATTAAAAAGTATCCATGTGGAGACAGAAATCAAAAAGCATAAAAAGTGTACCAAGATGGCCACCACTCCGACCATCGGCAGCGGCGGAGTGACGTCAGCAAATGGAGGCTCCACCCTTAAAATACATCCATAACAAAACAACTATGCTCCCCTGTTCTACAAAATTCAATCTATTATACTAATAAATGGTAATACAAGGACACTCAGTTCTACATTTGGTGTGGATCAGAAGACCAAATGCTCCTTTAGTGGTCACAGGATTTCTGCTAAAGGTGCTTGAAGGACTAATGTTCAGGAGGAGACCACATGATACCCAGATCTTCTGCATTGCTAGCAAAAATGTAGATGAAGAGCTTGCAAGGACACCAGAGGTGCAAATGTTCTTTCACTATTTCTGCTATTTTGTTAACTGAGGAGAAGCATTTAATTATTCATATTTTGAATCCTGGTTATGAAACCTTAGTGTTTCTCATGCCTGTGCAAAACATTCTTGAATTTAACTACTAAGAACCTTTAAGATACAGCTTAATGATAGACGAGCAATAGCAAACCAATGATGCAAGAGAAACATTGCCTTTTGAGAATTTTCACATATATGTGGTTATGAACGCAGGCTTCATTTGATTCAGGTAGAAACCCATGACATTAATTTCTTGGAAGAAACAGTAATGAGTATGACACCAGAGAAGGTAAAGCTGTGGTACATGGCTCTAAAAAAGCTAATGTACATTAAGTCTTATTTAGAGAAGTACAGAGTCCTAATGCTAATTTGCGCCTGACTCTTCCTCCCCACCTATACCCAAGCAGTGGTTTGTGAATTGCCTAATATATATATATATATATATATATATATATATATATATATATATACACATATTCAAGAAAAATAATGAATAAATTGCTGCTTACCAGCCCTTACGAGGCTTTTTTTTTTCCTATATTGTCACTGGTGCTCCTGCCAATGACATACTTCCTGTTCTAGGGTGACAACGCTCACTCACTGTACTGTAGGTGTAATTTTAAAGTAGGCTTAGCTTACTAATGGCTTAGCTTTTTAATTTAAAGCTGAGCTCTGGAAAATGAAAAAGTCTGTGTCGCACTGAAAGGGTTAACTCCTCGTTTATGCCTAGAGCACCTTAAAAAGCAGCTTACCTAAGGCCCCATTCACGCTTCACGTAGCCTGAACACACGTTCTGAATCAGTTTTTTGGGGGGGCAATTTGCACACGCTACCATTTGTCGCGCATGGGGCAGCTCATTCTATGCATGTTTGTTGCACAAATGAAGCTCCTGCACATTTTTTGGGTGACGAGCTTTGTGTGTTTTATTTCATGCATGTTTTGCTGTGATTTCCATGCATTTTTGTTGCGTGACAATTGCAGCAAAATTGCACTTGGGTTGCCATTAAAAGTGAATAGCACCCAAGCACACGTTGTGCTATTTGGCATAATTTTAGAGCGATTTGAAATCGCAGGCAGAAATGCTCCAATTCTGTCCATGATTCCAAAATGCTAAGTGTGAATGAGGCCTGAACCTCTGGTCTTGCAGGCTTCTATGAGCTTCTAGGCTGGTCCCTGCAGGCTTTCCTACCCTACACTCTGGTGGTCTAAGGTCCATGATGTTATTAAGACCAGTGCATGGATCATAGACCTGCGTTGGATGTGAAGACCCAGAGGGAGCAGAGGAATAAGTTTGTAAAAGTGCTCTTACTGTTCCCTAGAATTAATGAGCACTTACTGCTTGCAGTGTGAACACAGGACTTTTTAGTTTTCCTGAGGTCAGCTTTAATGCATTCTTGGCATTAAGGTAAAAAAAACTTCCTACTCCACTGGCTTTCCATGCCCCAGTACACCTCAACTGCTGTTCCTGATCTCTGGCACCAGCTCCAGCCACAAACACTTTCCTAAACATTCAGATAGGGGAGCCCATACCCTGTGTATATTACATATATTTCTGAGAAGGGATAGTGCAGATGTGGGGGGCTTCAAGGAAAGTGGCTTGCCACCTGGATTTATCTTTTTTTGGGCTTACATAGGTACCAGGAGGAATTGCGAGAAAGAACAAGCTACAGTTGCAAGAAAAAGTATGTGAACCCCTTGGGATTACGTGGAGTTTTGCATGAATTGGGCATAAAATGTGCTCTGAACGTCATCTAAGTCACAACAATAGAAGAACACAGTCTGCTGAACATAATACTACACAAACATTAGATGTTGCCATGGTTTAATTGCACATAACATGTAAACATTCACAGTGCAGGGAAGAAAACGTATGTGAACCTTTGGACTTAATAACGGGTTGACCCTCCGTTGGCAGCAATAACCTCAACCAAACATTTCCTGTAGTTGCAGATCAGACCTGCACAACGATCTGGAGTAATTTTGGACCACTCCTCTTCACAAAACTGTTTCAGTGTAGCAATATTCTTGGGATGTCTGGTGTGAATCGCTCTCTTAAGGTCATGCCACAGCATTTCAATCGGGTTGAGGTCAGGACTCTGACTGGGCCACTCCAGAAGGCGTATTCTGTGCTGTTGCAGCCATTGTTTTGTTGAATTACTTGTATGCTTTGGGTCATTGTCCTGTTGCATCACCCATCCTCTGCAGAGCTTCAGTTGGCGGACAGATGGTTGTACGTTTTCCTGCAAAATGTCTTGATAAACTCTGGTATTCATTTTCCCATCAATTACAACAATCCATCCAGGCCCTGAAGCAGCAAAGCAGCCCCAAACCATGATGCTCCCTCCGCCATGTTTTACAGTGGGGATGAGGTCTTGATGTTGGTGTGCTGTGTCTTTTTTTCTGCACACATAGTGTTGTGTGTTCTTCCCAAACAACTCAATCTTGGTTTCATCTGTCCACAGTATATTTTGCCAGTAGTGCTGTGGAACATCCAGGTGCTCTTTTGCAAACTTCAAACGTGCTGCAATATTCTTTTTGGACAGCAATGGCTTCCTCCGTGTTGTCCTCCCATGTACTCCATTCTTGTTTAATGTTTTCCTTATTGTAAATGTGTCAACAAAAATGTTAGCATGTGCCAGAGATTTCTGTAGGTCTTTAGCTGACACTCTGGGATTCTTCTTTACCTCATGCAGCATTCTGCGCTGTGCTCTTGCAGTCATTTTTACAGGACGACCTCGCCTAGGGAGAGTAGCAACAGTGCTAAACTTTCTCCATTTGTAGACAGTCTGTCTTACCGTGGACACATGAACATCAAGGCTTTTGGAGATACTATTGTAACCCTTTCCAGCTTCATGCAAGTCAACAATTCTTGATCCTAGGTCTTCGGAGAGCTCTTTTCTGCGAGGCATGGTTCACATCAGACAGTGCTTCTTGAAACCAGTAAACCCAAAACAGGTGTGTGTTTTTTAAGGGCAGGACAGCTGTCAGCAACACATCCAATATCATCACACTGATTGGAGTCAAGGTTGGCTCACTCCTGGCTCCAATTAGCTCTGGGAGAAGTCATTAAGCTAGGGCCTCACATACTTTTTCCTCCCTGCACTGTGAATATTTACATGCTATGTGCAATTAAACCATGGCAACATCTAATATTTGTGTAGTATTATGTTCGGCAGACTGTGTTCTTCTATTGTTGTGACTTAGATGACGTTCAGAGCACATTTTATGCCCAATTCATGCAAAACTCCACGTAATCCCAAGGGGTTCACATACTTTTTCTTGCAACTGTATATTGATTATTATATCATTAGGGGTACCTTTTTTTTTTAGATTTTATTTCGCATTAGGGGGTTACCTGTTTTTTTTTAGGTTGGGTGTGTAACACTTTAACGATGTTTAATTCTGAACTCATGAAGAAATTAGGAATTAGGGAGTTGGACCACTGAATTCTTCTGATATCCTGGCCCTAAGTGAAGGCCTGCAATTTAAACTTCAGCAGTCCCCCCCACCAGTGACAGGATTTCTTTAAGGATTTTTTCAGTTCTATTCCTGCTCAGACAAGTTTTTTTGTGCAACAATAGCTAAGATGTTACTGACGCATAGTATTCTCGCCCAACCGTAATTTGGATTTTAAGAAATGAAACTCAAAATAGATTCAGTAATATGAATTCGAAACTTATATTTGATGGTGATGAGAGATTTGTTAGTGAGATGCTCAGGTATGAATATGGCACAATGAACCTTTCAGAATGTTGCTGTAAAACAAGTATAGTAGCACAAAGCATTTCATTTAAGTGCTTTACCATATTTTAGTTGTTTTGTTTTTATTCATTATTTATATTTTGTTTTACAGTCCATGGTATTTGGATGGTCGTTTTCTTCTTCTGGTCGTTGTCACTATGCTCATCATCCTTCCATTGTGTCTTCTTAAGAATTTAGGTAAAGTACAATATCATAGGCATCCGGATCATGTTTTAGTGTTTCTTCTAGTTGTTGGTTACATATCATATTCACCCTGCACCCTTTTGATAATGCTTAAAATAAATACAATAAAAATGTATATATACAGTATATCCTTGCTTCCTGAAACAGTGACAGTGATTCACCAGTCAAGGAAAATATGAAACAGAAACACAAAGAAAAATACATTTTTTTCTCTTAGAGTAGAGGAAGGTCTGTGTCCTTGCTGATGATTTTTCTTCACTCCCTGTCTAATGAAACCATTGTCACTAAGACAGCAAGGGGTTTAAAAAAAACGTTTGGTTATACTTCTCTTGTGTGTCACAGAGTGCATTTAATGGTACACTCCTGTGACCCAGAATCAGCTGGCAGTGGGCTCTAGATTGCGGTCAGCTGATGTCCCGAGCCACTACTTTCTCTGGATGTATCCCGACAATAATGTTGGGATCCACCCAGATGCCTGATCGGCAGCTGGCTTATCCTCTCAGCGTGCCGCTGTGAACCTAAGCCAGCCACTCCCACATCATCCACTGTCCGGCCTCCAGTGTGCGCTGGAGGGGCAGAGCAGAGAGCCAATGACTGTGCTCAGAGCGGACCCACAAACTAAGCGATCACTTCGATCAGTTCGAATACTGAACAATTTTTCGTCCGAAAATCGAAACGTTGTTTGTTCTGTAATCCGATGGTGCCACCAATGATTTAGAAAATCTGTCGTTTTTCACTAATTTTCCAGCATGCCCGATAAACGAAATGGGGAGGAACCACGAAAATCGGTCAATGCCATTGCCCCACTAACAGAGCGAAAATCATCCGATTATTCTTAGGTCTGATTTTCGTACAAAAATCGTTCGGAATTCGTAACATATATGGTCTGCATAAGAGCCAGCGTGAGACAGCTACATAGCTAAATACAGTTGTGTTCAAAATAATAGCAGTCAGACATCACTAACCTGATCAATCACTGTTTTTGGTAGAAATGGTTTTCTACATGGCAAATAATTTACTAGCAGGTGTAGTAGAGTAATAGAAATCCAACAGACCCAACAGTCATGACATGCATGCTGCTGATTCTGTGTAATTGAATCACTAATTGAAAGGGGCATGTTCAAAATAATAGCAGTGTGGAGTTCTATTAGTGAGGTCATTCATTCTTTAAAAAACAGGTGGCAATTATTGCCCTTATTTAAGGAAGGAAGGCAGCAAATGTTGTACATGCTGATTACAGTGCATTTCTCTCTGAAATTCTGAGGAAAATGGGTCGTTCCAGACATTGTTCAGAAGAACAGTGTACTGTGATTAACAAATTGATTGGAGAGGGGAAAACATATAAAGAAGTGCAGAAAATGATAGGCTGCTCAGCTAAAATGATCGCAAATGCTTAAAAATGGCAACCAAAACCTGAAAGACGTGGAAGAAAGCGAAAAAACTACCATTCAAATGGATAGAAGAATAGCCAAAATGGCAAGGACTCAGCCAACAATCAGCTCCAGGAAGATCAAAGAAGGTCTACAGTTACCTGTGAGGACTGTTACAATTAGAAGATGCCTATCTGAAGCCAAGCTATCTGTAAGAAGCCCCCGCAAAGTCCCACTGTTGGAAAAAAGACATGTGCTGAAGAGGTTACAATTTGCCAAAGAGCACATTGACTGGCCTAAAGAGAAATGGCGCAACATTTTGTGGACTGATGAAAGTAAGATTGTTCTTTTTGGGTCTAGTGGCCGGAGACAGTTTGTCAGACGACCCCCAAACACTGAATTCAAGCCACAGTACACTGTGAAGACAGTGAAGCATGGTTGTGCAAGCATCATGATATGGGGATGTTTCTCATACTACGGTGTTGGGCCTATTTATCGCATACCAGGGATCATGGATCGGTTTGAATACATCAGAATACTTGAAGAGGTCATGCTGCCTTATGCTGAAGAGGAAATGCCCTTGAAATGGGTGTTCCAACAAGACAACGACCCCAAACACACCAGTAAACATGCAACATCTTGGTTCCAGACCAACAAGATTGACGTTATGGAGTGGCCAGCCCAATCCCTGGATCTTAATCCAATAGAAAACTTGTGGGGTGACATCAAAAATGTAGTTTCTGAGGCAAAACCAAGAAATAGAGAAGAACTGTGGAATGTAGTCCAATCATCCTGGGCTGGAATACCTGTTCACAGGTGCCAGAAGTTGGTTGACTCCATGCAACACAGATGTACAGCAGTTCTCAGAAACAGTGCTTATACAACTAAATATTAATTAAGTGATTCAAAGGAAAGCAAAATCTTCAAACATTTTTCAGTTTATATAGTGAATGTTTGAGTTTGTAAAGAAGAATACAAACACTGCTATTTTTTTGAACAGTCTAATATTCACTTTTTTTCAATTTTTTTAGAGGAACAACACACATTTGATATATTTTTCTTCATGTTTTGATTTGGAATAGAATGTGTAGTGTTCCCAATGCATTTGTGTGTATGGAAATAAAAGCTATTAGAAGGATTTTGAGCTTTATTCACTTTTTTCAACACACTGCTATTATTTTGAACACAACTGTATGTGTTTCTTTTCCCCCCACACTTCTCCCTTAAATTGTGACTTGATGTCCCTGCCAAAAGCTGACAGACAGTGGCCAATGAAAAATCTTTACAGTGCTGACACTTTGGGGTTGTTATGTAACTATTTCTCTCTCTCTCTAAGCATTTTGTATCAACAATCATCTTGTTGTTGAAAGAAGGTAATTTAATTGGCGCTGGGTGAAACTTCTTATCGGTGACATTTTTTTTTACATCAGACTTTCTGTATGAGTGAAGATGGCCATACACTGTCATTTCTTTTTTTTTTAGCCAGAGGATCTAGCAGATTCCTCCATCCTCACCAAATATGATGGATGGAGAAATACCCCTCACCCCTGCTGGGACTTTATATTCTGACAGTGAGACCAGCTGCTGTCGAAATACACTGATCAGTGGCTGCAGCCGCTGATCAGGAAAGGTTTTCTGTCATGGTCCTTTGACAGAAGTTGATCAAATGATTGACTTTCATCAAGTTGAGGAAGCCACACACTGATCGAAATTCGGGCAATCCTTGCTGAACCAGACAAATGTTGTCAGTGTACGTCAGCTTAAGATAGTAAAAAGCTTGCAGTTTTTGTTCTTGGGACCTACATTACAAGCTAAGATTTTCATATCAAAAGATAACAGGCAAAGGGGACTGAGATGGACTAGTGTGCTACAGCAAAGCCTGGATTTAAAGTACCACAGTACTGAGCAGGTAAACAGTGCTCCTATCAATATAAATGGTTTCATTCTCAATTTTTATTGAAGTATACCCTAAAATATAACATCTCATCAGGTCTTTATTGACCATACACCATCAAGATTTAAAGGCTGACTTACTAAAATAGCTGAGAACCTTAGGGCCCGTACACACGATAAGAAGATCAAACGAAAATGTCCATAAGATGAATGATTTGCCGATTATCTGATCATTAGTATAGTGCTTTCCACAGCTGATTCCAACTTTTCGGACGACAAAAACCAGAGGTGCAAGCTAGAAAATGTTTATCATAAGTGAACACGTCAGATTTTCATTTAATGTGTCATATGAAAATAATCAAATAGAAAAAAATGTGCATTCTCAGAAGTATAGAACAACCCTACATTTCCTCTTCTACTAGGCTAGTACGTACTTACATTTGCTTTTGTCGGTCAAGAATTTTCGTACAAGTCAATACCATTCTAACAACATTATGATATGCACTTTTATGGAAAATCAAACGATCGGTTATTCGATTTTCTCATAGTGTGTCCTAGGTTTTACAAAAAACGAACAACTATTTAATTAGTCCAATCATCTGAAAAGCAAATTCCTGTTTACTTTAAATATGCAATCATGTGCAGATGCTTTTCACATGATTTAATAATTCAAGTAAATAGCCACATATTTTTTTTGAGTGAAGACTCCCAACTCCTGTAATAAATCAGCCCAACAGCATGTATTAAAACATGCATTTCATCTGGAGTCTTTATAATCAGGGGAATATTTTAGTAAAAATATTTGCAACATTACTAGAAAATCTAAAATGTAATTAAAACCACTTACCTACCGCCCTATAGCAGACATACTGCTGCGCAAAATCACGTAAATATACGTGATTTTGCAGTTCTGGGTAGGGGGCGCGTGCACCGCCCTACCCGAGCTGCCATTGATTGCAATGGATGTCAGTCACTGGGTCCTGGCTGGCACTCTGTGATTGCTGCTAAAACTGAGAGAGGGGAGATCTGTGTGTAAACAACACAGACCTCTCTCCTGTCAGCATGGAAATCAGAGAGAGTGAAAGCAGCATGTCTCCCTAGTAAAACAGTGTAAGCACAACACACAGTTAACCCTTTGATCGCGCTAGATGTTACCCCCTTCCTGCCTAGTGTCATTAGTGCAGTGTCAGTACTTTTTATTAGCACGGATCACTGTATTAGTGTCACTGGAGATGTCAGTGGTCGTTAGTCAGTTCCCACCCAGTGTCAGAATACCTGCCTCAGTCCCGCTATAAGTCTCTGATTGCTGCCATTACTAGTATAAATAAATAAATATTCCAGTATATATACCACCATTTGTAAACGCTATAACTTTCACATAAACCAAATAATTTCCACATATTGGGATTTTGTTTTTTAGCAAAGACATGTAGCAGAATACATTTTGGCATAAATTTATGAAGAAATTGTATTTTTTAAACTTTTTTATTGGATATATTTGATAGCAAAAAGTAAAAAATATTGGGTTTTTTTTTTAAATGAATGGTCCTGCTTTCTTTGTAGTAGAAAAAATAAAAAATGCAGAGATGATAAAATGACACCAAAAGATAGTTCTATTTGTGGGGGAAAAATAACATAAATTTTTTTAATGTATAGCATTGCATGACCGCGCAATTGTCAATTAAAATAACGCAGCGCCGTATCGCAAAAAATGGCCTGGTCAGGAACGGGGATAAATCCTCTGGAGGGCAAGTGGTTAATAGGCTGTGTTTTTTTTTTATTTACTTATTTGTCAACCATGTTGAATAAAGAAAGCATATATGCAGTGTATTTCATATTGATATTTTAATAAAACAATCTTCCTAAAAATCTGAAAGTCCTGAAAAACATTAAATTCAATTCCCAGAATTGCAAAATGTGATCTGGTCAAGAACATATCAGTTACTCCTTATCATGGAAGAGACCAACTATGGGCTTGTGTACTTGACTTTAAATTAATGGACAAATATTTGTGAGTCAGTATCAGTTTTTGCAAATCAATAAAAGACATCCCTGCTGGTAACAGATGGCTTAGCTGTGACCTTAGCAAATCATGGCCAAAGTGTTTATATGAGGCACCACCTACTGGTGATGAATGTTAATACAGTTAAACTAAACATGGACATGTGCAATGTACTAAAATGGATACCGTTCAGTTTTTATTTATTACAGGTATTAATATAGCGCCAACAATATATGTAGCGCTTTACATATATTGAGGTTGATTTACTAAAACTGGAATGTGCAAAATCTGGTGCAGCTGTGCATGGTAGCTAATCGACAAAAAAAAAAAAAACCTTGGAAGCTGATTGGTTTCTATGAAGAGCTGCACCAGAATTTGCACCATGCAGTTTTAGTAAATCAATCCCATATTGAACTAACACATCAGGAGCTTATAATGTAAGGTTCATAGCTCAAATTCATACTAGGGCCAATTTATACAGAAGCCAAATAATCTACTAGCATATCTATGGAGTGTGGGAGGAAACCCACACAGGCACAGGGAGAACATACAATCTCTAGGCAGGTAGTGTCATAATTTATAGGTGTTTAAAAGGCTTTAAACATTCTTTAAAGAGAATAACATTTATTTTCTGTTACCTTTACAGGTTATCTAGGCTACACCAGTGGGTTCTCTTTGACGTGTATGGTTTTTTTCCTTGTTGTGGTAAGTCATAGAAATATTATCCATTGTGTAGTACATTATGGTTGCCAATTATTCTTAGATGTTTTGGTTCCTATGTTGCTGCATTATAGGTGATATACAACAAATTTAAAATTCCGTGCCCCCAAGACAGCGTGAATGGAACCTCAAGTAGTCTACACAACACAACAAGTGATGACATGTGTACACCAAAGTATTTGACATTCAATTCTAAGGTAACATTTTAGTATTTTAATATTACATATTTCTTCTTTATATTTGATGTATTTTATTTTATATAATCCAAGCAAACTCATGATTAACAAATTCTCCACCATTTACTTGATAACGCCTGAGCCAACAATCAAAGGGAAAGCAGTTAGGTGGAATTGCTGTAGAAATAGGCAATATCTACCATTATAGTAAGACAGAGTTATTTACTGTCAGACAGTAAGGAAGACATGATAAATATACTGTATTTGTCTGTTCACTATACAAGGTCCAGAATATAATGAGAATGGAGTTCCTACGCTCTAGAAGGGCTCTGTGAAGGGAGAAGCTGGCCAAGGACACTTGGGGTGGGGTGCCATGTATACGCTAGAACATTGATCAGTTGCATTCTAGCTCTGTCAGATTCGAGACATTCTTTTTTGTGACACCCTGTTCAAGCATCTCATATTAAGAAACAGCAGTATGCTATAAAATTTTGTGTGAAATTGGGTTAAAGTGCATCAAAAATTTGGAAATGGTGAGGAAAGCTTATGGAGAAGCTGCACTATCTGCACAAGTGTACTGATGGCACAAGGCCTTCAAGGAAGGACGAGAAGGTGTTGAAGACAAACATCAATCAAGGCATCCCTCTTCATCAAAAACAGAACAGAATGTGGATGCAGTGAGGTCTATTCTCAACTGTGACCGACAGCTCACTCTCAGAATGATTGCAGAGGAAACAGGAATTACCAAGTCAGTTGTTCATGAAATCATGACTCAAGATTTGAACATGAGAAAAGTGTGTGCAAAACATGTTCCAAAGAACTCATCACCTGATCAGAAGGAACACCGTCAACACGTTTGCCAAGACCTGTTGGCCCGTTTGGAAAGAGAGCCTGATTTTCTGAGTCAACTGATCACAGGAGATGAATCCTGGGTGCTTGAGTACAATCCTGAGATCAAGAAACAAAGTTTAGAATGGCACACACCAACGTCACCTCGCCCCAAGAAAGCTTGAATGGGCAAATCAAACGTCAAATCAATGGTCATTGTTTTTTTTATTCACATGGAATTGTCCATAAGGAATTTGTACCTACTGGTCAAACTGTGAATCATAGATTTTACCTGGAAGTTCTTGGTCACTCGAGACAAAGAGTTTTTAGTGTGCATCTTGAGATTGGCTCAACTTGGATCCTTCATCAGAACAACTAACCGAGTCACAGTACTTTGGCCGTCAGAACGTTTATGGCTAAAAACCACATCACGATGCTTACCCATCCACCCTACAGTCCCGACTAGGCTTCTTAAAACTTTTTCATATTCCAAAAGATGAAGGGTTTGAAAGGACGCCATTTTGGCAGTGTGGATAACATCCAAAAAGCCACTATACAGGCTCTGAACGCCACCCCACTTGAAGACTTCCAGGGATGCTATGAAGAATGGAAAAATTGCTGGGAACATTGTGTACACTCACAAGATGCATACTTTGAAGGAGAAAATATTCAATTGTAACATTTTTCAGTAAAAAAAAAAAAAAAATTCAATATTTTGTGGATACACCTCAAAAATTTGCTCTTCTGAACTTGGATAACTGTTTCCCTTGAAAGTGGCTTTATAGGTCTAGTGAACCTTACAGCAGACCTATACTGTACTGTGAAAGGTGTGAAAGGTATTGTAATGACCATGTTCCTCTGTTCCACTGTAAACTTACAGTGGTTATTTCCAGTTTATAAATACAGGTACTAAATAGAGGTGCTCTGGGTAACTTGTTTCAGTAGTTAATGTGTCCAGTGTTTAAGCATTGGTTATGCAGTTTCAGACAGAGAGGAGTATCAGTGATAAGGATCAGACAGAATTTCAGATTGGAATGCTCATTCAGTAGAGCATGTGGTCTGGTGCTTTAACCACTTCCCCTCTCACACCTGTACACCCCTATTGACCAGAACCATTTTTGCATTTCTACTATAGTCCTGTTTTTCTGCAATAAAGTTGTCATTGCTTAAAGTGGAATTCCCATCTAGATTAAACTAGGCTTAATATGGGACATTCATTGTGAGCTGTATCTCCTCTCCCATGAAGCCGGCCACTGGGAGCAGATCACTTGTCCAGACTATAGCACCCTGAGAATAGTTAAGTATAAGCACCTTCCTTCTATAGGGGAGTTAGAATAGTAGTCAGGTCTGGGTTTGGGGCTGTTTAGGCTTAGTTAGATCTAGGCTGGAATTCCACGTTAGGATAACAATATAGAACAGAGACTGTTTTTTCTAAGACAAACAAGCCTTTCTTTTTTTGACACTGTCTTGCAAAAGTCAACAATTTTATGCAAAAAAAAAACCCCCTAGAAAAAGCTTTTGTTTTAATTTTTGACCAGTGTTCGTATAAAAAAAAATAAAATATGTGCTACTGTAGAATAAAAGTATACATTTTATTCTATAATTTCACATTGTTAAAATTACACTAGAGATAATTTGCAAAGTTATTTACATATTAAATAAAGGATTTTTTTTTCGCCTTTGTGCTTTTTTAAATGTGATACAAAAAATGGTTAATAAAATAAAAAAAGTAAAAACAGAAGGAAAATAATAATTCAAGGAAAAGGGGAAGAATGAGTTAATTAGGGCTGATTAGGGTAAACTAATGGTTAATAAAGGGTTAAATAAAAAAACACTTTTTCTAGAAATGTGTCTATTTTTTTTTAACTGTCAGGTTGCTTTAACTGACAGCATCTGCAGATCAATGTCCATTCCTTTGATCTGGAGATAAATGAAACAGAGTAATTACAAAAGTAATTATGTTACATTTTATCTCTTCATTTCAGTCTGAACATTGTTGATAAACACAAACCCTAGCTTCACATTTGAGGGTTTTCCACATTTTGCAGAAACGCACTACAGTACATTTAAAATGATTTCCTATGGGACATGTTCACATTTTCGTGTTTTCACCCGATGAGTTTTTTGGAAAGTGTCAGGGATTTTTTTTAATGCAAAAAGTTGAGTTTTTGGTTCTAAAGACTTCAATGGAAGTGCTGCAGAAAAGCATGCAGTGCATTTTTGCTGTATGTGTAATGCATTTTTGCCGCATATTTTTTATGTGTTTTTGATGCGTTTTAAATCTGCCTAGCAACAAGAAAAATGATGTTTAAAAAACGCAAAAACACATCAAAAACATGGCAAAAACGCAGGTGCAAAAACACAATGCAGAACGGGTCAAACGCAAACTGCATAGGTGTGAACCTAGACTGAGAGCGGATTCACACATGTGCGGTGCAAATTGAGAGCTGATTCCCACATGTGCGGTGTGGATTGAAGCTCAGATTTCACAGCTAATTGATAGTGTAGTTGTTCAGCAGTTCATGTCAGGTTTACGTCAGGTTCAGGACAGGATTAGCTCTCAGGATTATCCTGTTCACACATATGTAGTTTAGAAACGGTTGCCATAGAAGTCAATAGTCTGTAATGCGCACCTGAACAAGATCGCACTGCTCAGAAATCGGAGAGGACTGTTTTTCAAACTGCACTGAATCTGCACTGCCATTGCACCAGACATATGTGAACAGACACCATAGGATGCAATGTTTTCTCACGTCATGCAAATTGGATGCAGTTCAACCAGCACTGAGTCAAATGGTTCTTTTTTGACAGCTGTTTTAGCTGCTGTGTCTACTCCCAGCTCCATTTTTAGAGCTGAGAATTGCTGGCATTGCTGACACTTGTTCAGACATGTGTAGCACGTCCATTGTCTGAGTGGTATGAAGCCCAAAAACAAAAAAAGAGAAATCACTGCACTGGGGGAGAAACAGAAACACCTTTGTACAGCAGCATTTTCCGTCCTGGAAAAGGGTAGAGTTAGATGTACTAGCAGATTAAGGCTGGCCATACACTATACAATTTCCTTTAGATTTGCCTACAACTATGTAGTGCAAGAGCCTGCCTAATTGGACACAGTTGAAAGTTTGAAAGTTTTGTTAGGTTTGACCTCATATTATATGGTTTTGGTAAATCTAAAGCAAAATTCTCGAGAAAATTGTATAATGTATGGCCAGCCTTAGGGCCCTTTCACACGGTCTTATTGATTAGGTCCACTTGTATGTTTTTTTCATGCAAGCCTAATCGAGAGTTCCATATGGGTCTATGGACAGGCTGATTTAGGCCCCTGTCACACAGACGTTCCAATCGGATTCACCTGTCCGTTTTTCAGGCAGACCCAATCGGAATCTATATTATCCTCTATGGAGCGGTGGGTGTAAACGGACATGTGTCCATTTACACCTGCCAACATCCGATCCGATCTGCCAAAAAGAAACAGATTCCCCTTTCATCCATCGGATCAGATGGGATGGCAGTTGGATGGAAAGGGACAGGTGGTCCGTTTCCATCCAACCGCCCATAGAAGAGAGCGGGCTGTGTCTATGTCCATTCTGCAGCAACAGAGTGGACATGGACCTGTCATCCTTTTGCTCAGTGGGGATCATCGGAGAGATCCCCCACTGAGTAAGTGGATCCGCTGTCGGGGCCGGCCCATGTGAAAGGGGCCTTAAGTGGATGTGTGTATGTTTACACCTACCTCCGAATCTGTCCACGCCTGAAAATGGAAAAGGACTGCATCCTTTTCTATTTTTCAGTACCTAAATGTGAAGGATCATAGGTAGCCTGATGTAAATGGACACAAGTCTGTTTCCATCTGACTGCCAATAGGGTCATCATGGGTCCGCCCCTGTCCTCTGTGCAATTGTGGACACAAACTGAAGAGGCATGGATTTAACCTCCCTAACGGTATTCCTGAAGTGTAGCTCGGGGTAAAATGTCAGTACCAAAAGTGGTAACCCCGAGCTACACTCTGGCTTACCATGCGGCGCTGCATAGAAATTCCCTGCAGAGCTTACCTTGTCCTGCGCTCCCGCGATGTGTCCCCTGCAGCGTCCCTGGCCATCTCCTCCGGCCGATGCCGGCATCAGGCTTCTGTGTTCCGGTCCCTGTGACGTCGTGACGTACGGGCGCTGCCGGCGGTGGGAAATTTGAAAATTTTAAAAAATTTCATTTTTTTCCAAACAAATTTTACATAGTAAAACATTGCTGTTTCAACCCATTTCACATACATTTTGTCCCGAGTGCTTTATCCTGTGCCCTGCCTGCATTTTGTCTGTTCTTTCTGCCTGGAAACTAAGAAACGTCCATGGCATCCAAAAAGCGTCCCCTTAGGTCAAAAGCGGGTTTAGACCAGCTAGAGAACAGCGATAGTAAATCAGAACCACTTGCAGAATAGAGTGATAATGATTCGTGGGAAATTCGTCATCAGACACTGAAAACGACTTTGCTCAGCGATGTGCGAACTTGGCGCTCTATTTCAAATTTCAGTGTTTTTGGTTTGATTATATTATTGAATTAAATGTATTATTATTATATTATTATTTTTTATGATTATTTATTAAATTATAATTTATGATTTTGTGTTTCAAATTTTGTCATACCCGAGATGTTTAATAGACTCTTGTTCGGACAGATTTCAGTGAGTTATTCCTAAAATTACAGGCCTACAATAAAAAAAATACATATTTCCATGCAAAATAATGGTACCACTTTAAGCACCAAAAATCTGAAATAATCATACCGCTAGGGAGGTTAAAAAAAACTGACATCCCTTCCATTCAGCTCCAGTTCAGCATGGGATCCACCCACATAGCAGAGCAGCACAATGTGAAAGGGCTCTTGACTAATGAACTGAACTTCAGCAAACACTTTGTAAGCAATTACAGCAACATTTTTTTCTTTTGAGATAGAGATTTTACATTAATGAATAAAAGCTGACCACCTCTGTCAGTGGTACATGGTGTCTCTGAACCCTCTAATTTCTACATTTGCTGAGGAGCTTGGTCTGTTAAAGGGAGTTGAAAAATAACAGGCTTACTGGCTAGATCACCAGGTGACATAAAAGGTAAAAACAGTCTACAAAAAGAAACCTAATGAAGCCACCTCATCTAAGAATTGTTAAGCTGCAATATAATAAATGTTTGCTTAATACCACTATAACTACTACACAGCTCAGCTGTAGCTATACTACACTTAGGCTGGCCATACACTATACAATTTTCTGCCCATTTTCCTTTAGATTTACCTTCAACTATGTAGTTCAACGGCCTGCCTAAGAGGATACATATGAAAGTGTTGTTTAGGTTTGACCTCCTATTATATATTGTATAATGTATGGCCAGCTTTAGTCACTTACCTAGAAAATATTTAGGGGTTTATGTACTAACCCTAGGTTCACACCTAAGCGTTTTCCGCAGTATTTTGCAGAAACGCACAGCACTCCATTTAACATGATTTCCTATGGAACATGTTCACATCTCCATGCTTTCACCCTGTGTGTTTATTAGAAAGGGTCAGGGACTTTTTTTGAACGCAAAATGTTGCGTTTTTGTTTCTATAGACTTCAATGGAAATGCTGCAGAAAAGCATGTAGTGCATTTTTGATGCATTTTGCATTTAAATCTGCCTAGCAACAAGAAAAAAAAATTAAATGCGCAAATAGCATCAAAGACCTAAAAAACGCAAAATGCAATGCACAAATGGCTCAAATGTAACCTGCATAGGTGTGAACCTAGCTGGTTCACTCAGAATCTGGTATAGCTGTGTATGGTAGCCAATCAACTTCTAATCTCAGTTTGTTCAATGAAGCTTTAGCAATAAAACCTGGAAGCTGATTGGCTTCTATGCAGAGTGAACCAGCTTTAGTAAATAAACCCCTTAGTGATGTGCGACTGGCTTTAGTAGACTGCCAACAGAGTGTGAATTAATATTCCTGGAACTTGAATTTGACATTTCTGTGACCATAATCACCCAAGGGAAATACAAATTGTTATTTTAATGACTTCACCTTCGCAATCCTGCTTAATATATTAAAATCCTTCAAACAGCTAAACAAATGATTTCAGTCCATTCCATTTGATTTTTCACTGGCTTCCTCCATTTCCATCCATTACAATGAATTCTGCACTGTAAAAAGTGTTATATTCATTTGTGTCAGATTATTAGATATTCCTTTTTTCTGCAAATGTGTTTGGCATTTGCAGTGATGGCTATTATTAGATTTCAAGGTAATCTAATCACGTGTGTCTTTTTTTTTCATCCACAGACTGCGTATGCACTGCCGACACTAGCATTTGCATTTGTGTGTCACCCGTCTGTCCTTCCCATATACAGTGAGCTAAGAGAGTAAGAGTAAACCTTACCTTTATTTATTTGTATCACGTCAGCATCGTTCTCAGCAGGAGTAATACAAATGCAGAATTCATCAAAATAATAGCAACCTGGAAATCTAGTCATTGGAGAGACAAACCGTTTGGCTGTGTTACATTTCAGAGGATTACATTTAAAATGATTGTAAACCCTCACCTTGTAAAACAGCCCATTCAGTTTAAAATAGAAATGAAAGGCAAAACATTTGTGTATAGGTATAAAAAAACATAAATACCTTTTTTCCTTTTTCTATAAGTGATCACAGACGTGTGCAGAACGAAAAAATGTGTTTAGTTTCAATTCATTACTTAAATTATTTTGATTAGTTAGGTTCATTTAATTTGTTTTTGGAATTTGTTTCATTTACTCGTTTTCAAATTCAATTCGACTGCATTAAAAAATATCAAATTGACATTCAAATGTTTTCTATTCAAAATCTGAATTTCAGAAGACAGTTATATTCTTTCTATTCTTTTTTATGTTCTTTTCAATTCTATTCTTTTTTTTCTATTCTAGAATTTTCTATTCTATTCTTTTCTATTCTAATCTATTCTATTCAAATTCGAATGTATTCTATTTGAAATTCAAATTTCAGAAGATGGTTGTATTCTTTCTATTTTATTCTATTCTATTGCTTTTTTTCTATTCTATTTTATTATTTTCTATTCTATTATTTTCTAATCTATTCTAAACTATTCTATTCTAATCTATTTTATTCAAATTGAAATTTATTCTAGTATTAGACAGTTATATTCTTTCTATTTTATTCTATTCTGTTATTTTCTACTCTAATCTGTTCTATTATGATTCAAATTTATTCTATTTAAAATCCAGAAGATAGTTATATTCTTTTTATTTTATTTTCTGTTCTATTGTTTTCTATTCTAATCTATTCTATTCAAATTTGAATTTATTCTATTCAAATTTTGAAAATTCAGAAAATGGTTATATTCTATTTTATTCTATTCTATTTTTTTTATTCTATTATTTTCTATTCTATTCTTTATTTTTTATTCTATTCTATTTTTTTTTAATATATTCTACTCGAATTCAAATGTATTCTATTTGAAATTCACATTCCGGAAGACGGTTATATTCTTTTTTTTATTGTATTCTATTTTTTTCTATTCTATTCTATTATATTCTTTTATTTTCTATTCTATCCTTTTTTTTTATTCTAATCTGTTCTATACTATTTTTTATTCTATTCCTTTTCTATTATAGTCTTATATTTTATTTTCTATTCTGTTCTGTTTTACTCTTTCTTTTCTATTCTATTATTTTCTGTTCTATTCTTTTTCTATTCTAATCTATTCTTTATTTTCTAATCTATTTTATTCTATTCTGTTTTACTCTATTCTATTCCTTTTTGTTTATTTTCTATTCTGTTCTATTCTTTTCTATTATAAATCTATTCCTTTTTATATACTCTATTTTAGTCTATTTTTGGTTTTGAATTCAATTTGAATTGGAATGTTGGCCAAAATGTTGTTTCATTATTTTGGAATTGTTTAAGTTTGTTGCTATTGTAATTCAGACATTCTGATATACATCCGAATTTCCGAATAACAAAAAATTTGTTTCGGTAAGAAACGAATAACTAAAAAATTTGTTCTCAGCTGCATAAGGGTTTGAAACCCCAGCTTTCCCAGTGTAAGAAGGGGGGGAGTCCACAACGTTGGAGGAGTGAGTTTCATCCTGAACTACGTTGTGTTCTCCTGCCTAGTGTGGTCAGTTTTAATAGTAAAGCAGAGGGACTGGCAGGAACACCAGGGATTTATCACAAAGAAAGCAATGCAAAACAGGATACTTTTTCATACAAGTACGTTACACCAGGCACATATCCGGAATATAAAATGTTGGGTTTGCATATTCTTTAAATTTGTGTTAGTACCAACAATAACTACTAATATACAAACCATGTTCACAACATATTATAAAGATTGAATGTATATCTTTTGTTTGAACATACGAGCATTTAAAATCTGAAGTCACTGCAAGGTGTTTGGAGAACATTTGTACAATAATTAATTCATCAAACAACTTTGTCATTACTGACCCAAGATTTACCCATACTAAACTAAACCTCTTGCAAGAGAAATCTGGATCAACTGCAGATCTATGGTTTTACATCTTATTTACTTTTTGTCTTTTGGTTGAACGTAATGAACATGTGTCTTTTTCAACCTGATAAGTTATGTAACTATCTATGTAATATGGGGACTTCTGCTCCTAACCTCCTTCTAAAAATGCTAGTTGCCTGGCTGTTATGTTGATTTAAAGGCTAAGTTAACCTTCAGAACATGTTATGTGTTACACGTGCACTTAAGGTGTAACATGTTCAGTATGCAAGTGTATAATCCAAACGCACATGTTCCTGCTTTAAAAATGGCTGTGTGTATAAGTGGGTGCTGCAGCGACCGTTGACTGGAACTGAACAGAATCAGCAAGGGAGAATGTCACCAGCACACCAAGGATCACCAATAAGGGTCCAAAAGTTTAATGAACAATCACATAGTTACAGCAAGGCAACGTTTGGGAGTCTTGCAGGACCCCTTCATCAGGCATGTCAGTCGTAACATGCCTGATGAAGGGGTCCTGCGAGACTCCGAAACGTTGCCTTGCTGTAACTATGTGATCGTTCATTAAAACTTTTGGACCCATATTGGTGATCCTCGGTGTGCTGGTGACATTCTTCCTTGCACTGTGACAGTGGGAGCAGGACCTTCTTCCCACACCCACTGTCACGATTTGAAAACAGTATGGCTGTGTAGTATCCTGTGAATGAATAGACTACAAGTACTGTCAGACATTAGTTCATTGTTCTTCCTGTTCTCAAGTAACTGCCTTCCTGTATAAGAGGTACAGGCAGACAGCTATCCTGAGAATCTGCAGGAGCCTGACATTGCACCTGCGATCTCCTGATCATGGGTGCAATGCTCTGCAGGCTCCCTTGAAAAAAAAAGTAAATGCACATTTTTTGTGTAATATTTTTTTCAAAAAGTGAATTTATACGTTTTTCCTGAATCACTGACTATTGCACTGACTGTTCCGCTTGTGGAACTGTTCCCAATTGCGCATTTGGTCAATGAGATGTTTTTGTACAGTGAAAAGCCTTTTGAACCGAATTTTTCGTTCTATAGGAAACAGATTTTATGTTTTAGCCTTGGTTCACATATGTTTGGGGCCGGTTTGCAGTGTGATTTCAAGCCACGTCTAATGCTTCTTCGTTCAGCAGTTCAGGTGTGAATCATTAAAGTTTGTGACATTGGAAATCGCACCTCAAATGCGCTAAAAAAATTGTATCCGACTCTTTTTGAAATCGCACTGTGGCCGACCCGCACATATGTGAACCAGCTCCATACAAAAGGACCTTGGTTCACATGTCATGCGAATCTGCTGCGATTCAAAATCGGGGCTTAAGCACTTGCCTACCAGGCACTTATACCCCCTTCCTTACCAGGCCAATTTTCAGCTTTCAGCGCTGCCGCACTTTGATTGACAATTGCGCGGTCATGCAACATTGTACCCATATGAAATTTTGATCATTTTTTTCTCACAAATAGAGCTTTCTTTTGGTGGTATTTAATCGCCACTGGGCGCTTTACTTTTTGCGCTATAAATTAAAAAAAGTGCAAAAAATTTGAAAAAAAAAAAAAAGTTTATTTGTTTCTTTTATAAAATTTTTCAAACAGGTATTTTTTCTCCTTCACTGATTTGCGTTGATGAGGCGGCACTGATGGGCACTGATAGGCGGCACTGATGGGCACTGATAGGCAGCACTAAAGGGCACTGATAGGCAGCACTAATGAGGTGGCACGGATAGGCGGCACTGATAGACAGCACTAATTAGGGGTCACGGATAGGCGGCACTGATATGCAGCACTGATAGGCGGCACTGATAGGTGACACTGATGATGGGTACTGATAGACGGCAACTGACTGGCATCACTTCTGGGCACTGACTGGCGGCACTGGCTGGCACAACCCCTGGGCAGTGACTGGTGGCACTGACTGGCAGCACTGCTGGGCTGCACTGGTGGGTGGCACTGGTGGGCAGCACTGGTGGGTGGGCACAGGTGGGTGGCACTGGTGGGCACAGGTGGGTGGCACTGGTGGGCACAGGTGGGTAGGCACAGGTGGGTGGCACTGCTGGGCACATGTAGGTGGCACTTCTGGGCACAGGTAGGTGGCACTGCAGAGTGGCACAGGTGGGTGCACTGCTGGGCACAGGTGGGGGCACTGCTGGGCACAGGTGGGGGCACTGCTGGGAACGGGTGGGCGGGGCTAGTGGGCGCACTGCTGGGCGGAACTTGCGGGTGTCACTGCTGGGCACCGATCATCAGGGCACTGATCATCAGTGCCCTGATGATCGGTGCCGATCCCCGCTCTGACAACTGCCGGTTCTCGGCAGTACTTTCCTCACGATCTGACAGCGTGAGGAAAGTGCAGCCGAGAACCGGCACTTGCATTTCCCTGTGATCAGCGTGTCATTGGACACCGCTGATCACGTGGTAAAAGGCCGGTGGGATCGGCCTTTCACCACATCACGTGATCAGCTGTGTCCGTAGGACACAGCGATCACGGAGATCGCCGGGTGCGCGCCCCCTGGGGCGCGCAGGAGAGCGCGTTCTGGGAGGACGTCATATGACGTCCACTCAGAACTGGCCGGCCGCGGTGAAGCCGTCATTCGGCTATGCGTGGTCGGCAAGAGGTTAAAGACAAAAGACTGATCCTTTCACTGTGCATACGCCTAGTATGTGCATAAGTGAGGAACAGCTGTTGTAGCTGTACTCAAAAAGTCCCAATCATGTTGAAGACAAGCAGATTTATAGGTGTGTCCAATCTACAACAACTGTGGGTATAGGATTATAACTTGTTTTTTTTTTTTTTTCTGTGGTTGAATTGGATGGACTTTTGTCTTTTTTCAGCCAGACTATGTAACAACAGAGGCAAGAGTCATTCAATCTTTTCACTAAATCCACACAGAGTGAAATAATGTGGAAAGTGATATCAGCCAATAAAATTGTCAAGTTATTAGCCATATCAGTGAAACATTCATTCTGACTGCTTACTACAGTCAAGGACTGAGAAAAAAAAATGGATGAAGAAAAGAACATACAAATATTGAGGGTAATAATTACTGAACGAGTATGTAAACCCAACATTTCATATTCCTGATATGTGCCTGCTGTACCATGTACTTGTATGAAAAAGTATTCAGTTCTCTTTGTATTGCATCCTATGTGTGAAATCCCTGGTTCCTGCCAGTCCCTCTGCTTTCCTATTAAAACTGACCACACTAAGCAGAACACAGGGATTTATTTACTAAAGCTGGAGAGTGCATAATCAGGCTCACTTCTGCATAGAAACCAATCAGCTTCTAACTTCAGCTTGTTCAATGAAGCTTTGGCAATAAAACCTGGAAGGTGATCGGTTTCTATGCAGAAGTGAGCCTGATTGTGTACTCTCCAGCTTTAGTAAATAAACCCCACAGATGGTCAGTTCTCTAGCTGTGCTGGAACTCAGCCTGCTCCCCTCCAATGATCAGACTTCTGCTGACAACCCCCCGCACAACCATTCACTGGGAAGTTCAGTCTGCTGCTGTTTCTCCTTTCCTAGCTTTCTGTTCTCAGCTGCATAAAGAGTATATGTGATCACTTATAAAACAAGGTAAAAAAAGGTATTTATACGTCATGTATTTATATCTATACACAAATGTATTGCTTTCATTTCTGTTTTAAACTGAATGGGTTGTTTTACAAGGTGAGGGTTTACATATACTTTAAGAAGTACATTTTTCCCTTTGCCCTGTGTATCAGTATTTAGTTTTGACACCTAATGTGCAGAAACGTCCTGTTTTTTAATTCTCTTGCACATGATTGGGTGTTTGAAGCAAGCACAGTTTCTTTTGGCTAAGTAAAAACAAACAAATAAATAAATCTAACAATATCAGTTTACAGCAGGGGTGGACTGATAACTCATGGGGCCCCCGGCAATAGGGGATCATGGGGCCCCTGTGTCCTTGCCCAAACTCAAAAAAGCCTATGAAAAAGGTACCAGGGGCATCTCATGGGGCCCCCTACTGACCCCGGGCCCTCGGGCAGTGCCCGAGTTTCCAAATGGTCAGTCCACCCCTGGTTTACAGTACTCATAATTTAGATATTTTCTTGCTTCTCGCTTTCTAGATGAACACAAAGCATGTCTTACAAACTGGTCATATAGATTTTTATTCCATCTAACTTGCAAATAGCAACACAAGATACTAAGGTGTATTGATTTACAGAATGTATAATATATTTCATTTTGTGTTCTAGCCGTTCCCAGAAGAAAATGCAGCTCGTTGCCCATATATCATTCTTTGCCATGTTTGCTATGTATCTTATGACTGCTGTTTTCGGATATCTGACATTTTATGGTAGGTACTGTAGAGCAAATAAAGGCAAGTAAAATAGGTCAAATACTAATTTTAAACCATTAGTAGGAATAGCTGATCCATTAGCATCACATCCCTATTAGCTTATATTAGAGAAAAGAGAGGATCAAAATGTGTGGGACTTTTAAGGTGCTTTTATATATATAATTCAAGTAAAATCATTTTTCCTGAGTGTAATAAAAGCACCTTAAAAGTCCCACACATTGATCTTTTCCCCAATATACTGTACCTTGGTTTACAAATGTATTTCGTTCTGCGGGACTTTTCGTATTGTGAAAAATTTGTAAACTGAAACGCTGTTTCCCATAGGAATGCATTGGAAACCAATTAATCCATTTCGGAGGTCAGAAAAAAGTAAAAAAAAAAGTATTTTATCTGTTCAAAACTCTTTATAAAGTGCATTTTAAAGGCATAAATACTGTACAGGGACATGATTAAAAATGAATTCGTAAATGGATTGAAAACCAATGAATCAGAGGTCAGAAAAAAGTCAAAAGTTTTATCTGTTCAAAACTCTTAATAATGTGCACTTTAAAGGCATAAAGGAACCTGATTAAAAAAAAAATCGTAAATGCATTGAAAACCAATTGATCCATGCGTATTGCAAAAAAAAAAATTGTAAACTGAGCCATTATTTTCATCGGAATTTCATTCGTAAACCAAAAATTACGTTAATCGAGGCGTTCGTAAACCGAGGTATGCCTGTAAGGTGAAATACTAATGCAACTTGGAAATCATGGCAAATGTCTTAAAGTAGAAGGCAAGTCAAAACCTAACTAAGCCTAAATCTATTCCCACCCCCCATTCTAAACCTATTCTATCTAACCTGAAAAAGGAAATATGTCTTTATTTACTTATTATGAAGTTGCTCCGGTCCAGTAAAATGATCTCTCCAGTGGCAGCTTCATTGTAGAGGAGGGACAGATGACAACAGCTGCCCGACAATAAGCCTATGGGTGACGTCATAGCTCAGGCTCTACAGCCGTTGTCAGCTGTCCCTCCTGTACACTCAAGCCGGCGCTGGGCCCCGATCATGTGACCAGACCGGAGCAACTTCAAAATAGGTAGGTATAGTCATCTTTCCTTTTACAGAGTAAATAGAATAGGTTTAGAATGGCGGCGGGAGTAGATTTAGTCTGTTAGGTGTTGACTTGTCTTCCATTTAAGGTCACAAAGTCAAGTTACTTTACCTTGAGGGTCGGTTCACACTATAGAAATGCAGTCAAGATGCTTTTATGCATTCGCGCTTTTGGCACATTCCGATGCATTTTTGATGCATCATTAACGTCTTCCAGTGCGTTTTTGAAGCATTGCAGTTAATTTCCCCCCCCCCCCTCTTTTTCTTTAATTGAAATAGGGATATATGCGTTTCAGTGCATTTTTGTTGCATTGCGGTGTGTTTTTGAAGCCAGTTAATTTTTCCCCCCTCTTTTTCTTTAATTGAAATAGGGATATATGCGTTTTCAGTGCATTTTTGGTGCATTGCGGTGTGTTTTTGAAGCATTGCAGTTAATTTTTCCCCCCTCTTTTTCTTCAATGAAAAATAGGGATATATGCATTGCAGTGCATTTTTGGTGCGTTCCAGTGCGTTTTTGATGCGTTTTATCGTGCTCCTGTACAGTTCAGTGCAAGAAAAATGCAGCCTATTCAATTTTTTTTCTGCAACCGAAACTCACTGAAACTGCAAGCACTGATATGAACTATGACATTTACAACCATATAACCTACTTTCTGTGCGTTTGGATGCAGAAAAAAAAACACACTGAAATGCATGTAGTGTGAACTGGCCCTAAAAGTAATCTAACTCCAAGAAAAGAACTTGTGACCATACACAGTTCACTAATACCAAAGGCCAATTCACACCAGTGTGTTGATCTGCCTTTAACGCAGCTGTAAAATGCAGATCTATGGAGGACATCTGAAAAACAATAATTTCCAATGTGTCCTGTTCACACCATAATGCTGCATTGACCTGAGCAGGGGCAGACTGACAACTCATGGGGCCCCCGGGCAATAGGGGATCATGGGGCCCCTGTGTCCTTGCCCAAACTCAAAAAAGCCTATGAAAAAGGTACCAGAGGCATCTCATGGGGCCCCCTACTGACCACGGCCCTTGGGCAGTGCCCGAGTTTCCAAATGGTCAGTCCGCCCCTGGACCTGAGTTGCACTAAAATGCATTTTAGTGTAATGCAATGGATGTAAGTGGATGTCAACGCAATGCAAAGGATAGCCTTTGAAAATGCAGTGAGGTTTATTTACTAAAGATGGAGAGTGCAAAATCAGGCTCACTTCTGCATAAAAACCAATCAGCTTCTAATCTCAGCTTGTTTAATTAAGCTTTGCTAATAAAACCTGGAAGGTGATTGGTTTCTATGCAGACGTGAGCCTGATTTTACACTCCTCAGCTTTAGTAAATAAACCCCAGTGTGCTTTAACGCACGCTAAAATGCATGTCAACTGACGTTAAAATGTATGTCAATGGACGTCAACCCGTGACTAAAATGGATGGAAATGTACATCCATTTTCCATGCATTTTTGCACAAGTCAGTGTGAAGTGGACCTAAGTGTCAGTTAGCTCATGGAAAGTCAGCTAGCCACAGCTCAAGGAACTCCTAGCTATCCCCAGAGGAATGGTTGAGAATGGCTGGTCTAGGGTAACCAGGCACATACAAATATTGGATATTGAGTCAGAAATTTAAAAAAAGGCATCATAATCATTGACTTTTCTACTGCTGGTAACTCCATAATAGTATCAATAAAGAAAAAGTTACAATTTACTGCATTTTTTTCAGGGTTCACTGAAACATTGTCATCTTACTTACCATGTATCAGAAAATTAGCTTTATTACAATGCACGCAAGCCTAACTTTACAGATTTCTCACAGGGCACCTGGAGAAGACCGACGCCTTGCCTCGGGTCACATTATTCTAGGTTGTGCACTATTCTTGTGTTGTATCTTCACAAGATGACAGTGGGATCAGTAAAAGAGTGGTGCCCAGGCTTAAATTTAGGGCCATCTAGACAAAAAAAGCACATCAGCAACTATGGTGACAGTAGTTGGACAAAAATAACAGAAACAAATAATCACCTAATTATATCAAGGACATGATAAGGAGTAGGAACATGTTTTTTTATATCCTTGCTGGAATGCTATACTACAAACAGTGGGGTTGATTTACTAAAACTGGAGAGTGTAAAATCTGGTGCAGCTCTGCTTAGGAACCAATCAGCTTCCAGTTTTTTTTGTCAAAGCTTAATTGAACACGCTGAAGTTAGAAGCTGATTGGCAACCATGAACAGCCGCACTATAATTTCCACTCTCCAGTTTTAGCAAATCAACCCCAGTGTGTGGTGGGATTTTGCATCACATGACATCGAAGCTATTTAACTTCATTGGTAGGTTAATTGGCTCCTGTCTAAGTTTGGCTGTAGTATGTGCATGTATGAATGTGCACCTGCTAAAATTATATCCCTCTAAACCAAGGGCTCTCCAAATGTTTCAAATAAAGGGCCAGTATATGGTCCTTCAGACTTTAGGAGGGCTGGATTAGGGCCAGTGAGCATAGAAAATGTTCTGGTCCAAGCATCAGTGAGAATAAACATGGCCTCAGGGTTAATGGTCAGTAGGAGGAATAGTGCCCCATCATTGGTATTAGTGGGAAGAATAGTACACTATCATTGGTTTCAATGGAAGAAAGTGCTGCCCCATTGCTGGTCTCAGTGGGAGGAATAGTGCCCCAAGGGTAGCAAAGGGCCATATCCGGCCCTCGGGATGCAGTTTGGAGACTCCTGCTCTAAACCCTGCTATATGCCCTCTGCTAAATATCACATAAAAATACATATAATATTTTGTTAGTGTACAATATTTTTAGTTTTGACTGTTATTAGTAACATTATTGTTTGTTTCCTCTAGGTAAAGTGCATTCAGAGCTCCTCAGCACATATACCAATCAAAAAGATGTCCTCATCTTAACCATACGCTTGGCTGTTATAACTGCAGTTATACTCACCGTCCCAGTATTATTTTTTACTGTAAGTAAAAATAAATTCTCTCTGTTTATTTGCATGAGATATGACGTTTTTAGGATTATTCTTTTACATGGATAAGGAAGACTACATATTTGAGAAATAAGATGCCACTGAAAATACTATATATGGGTGTATAGAAATATTCACTTTATGTATAAGCAGGCAGAGCTAGTGTTTAACTTCACGGTACAAATTCAAATATAAAGTAATACTGATATTTATTAACATAATTGAAAGCAGTGAAAACTATCAAGATCCCTAATAAAGGATGCTTTAAGAACCAGTAGTATGTTCTCCCAATAGAAGACATTGTAGGTTCTTGACACTGGCATTTTGCCACACTAGGAGTCTCAGAAGCAAAAGTCTCCTGAATCCTGCATCTGGGATTGACAACTGTATGTGGATAGCTGTAGCCACCAGGCCCATACAGTGCAATGACAGAATGTCAGTGGCCGCAGCTATTTGTGACTGTTCACACAGCCAGCGATTGCCTATAGTAATGGTGGCCTGAAGTCTAGGGGGAGGAAGTGTGGCCATTTGGTTCCTTCCTCCCCTGTCCCTAGGGGGTTTTCTCTTCGGGAGAACCCCCTGGCCAAGTACTGAGTGGCTGGTTTCGGCTGGCCACAAGGAACGGTGGTCCGCCAGGCCTTTTGGCTAGGTGGACCAAATGGGAACCTTGTCCCTGTCAGGAGCTTCGTGCCCCGGGGGATCAGGGTAGAGGTCCATCCCCTTCGGGGAAGGGCAAAGCACACCCCTAAGTGCACTTTTTTTGTGTGGTGTTTTGCACTTGCACATTTTTTGTGAACACTTATGGGTTTTTTTTTTTTCGTTTTTCGCACGTTCGCGGACTTAAAAAAAAAATGGTGGCTGGACACACACAAGGTATTTGTATACTGTATACTATCTGTATGTATATATACTCTATGCTATCTGTATACAGCTGTCAGCTCCAAAATCAGAAATCGGTAGATTCTTGCTGCTGGAATTTTCAACGTGGCAACAAAGCACCCATGCGATTGAAGTTTTAGTCTCTTATGTAGGCAATATTAGGCTGCAATTTTAATACAATTTTGTAGATTCCTTTTTTTGGTCATTTATGCTTTAGGTATTTTTTAAGAGATCACTAATTTACAACTACAGACTTCTGTTTTTATGTTCTAAACAAGTAGAAAGTAATGCACAAGCCTCATAACATAAGCAAAAATACAATTACCTATTTACCTTCACTGATTGAGCCAGTCCTAGATTGTAAGCTCCGAGGAGCAGGGCCCTCCTATCCCTCTTGGATTGTTGCTGTACTGTCGCCCATTATATTGTAAAGCTCTGAGCAAACTGTTGGTGCTATATAAATCCTGTATAATAATAATTCCTCCTTTATTGGTTTTTAACATGTTCTCCCTCCCAGACACTGCAGCTCATAGTGAAAAGGTTTTAGCAAGAAAGGCAGTGCAGTCAGTACAGAAAGCAGTGGGCAGGACTAGGTGTGGCCAGGCATCCATTGAAAAGCTACAGACTTGTGAATTAGAAGTGACAGTGCTGATGCCACACCCACAGGAAAATGTTTTTATCCTACTGTAGTTCAAGCAGGCACAGCCTACATTAGTGTGGCAACTCTGCTTTGAATTCAGGAGCAGTGCAGCATCATTAAATAAAGAAAACCTCCTGCACTGCCAATAACCCTAAAAAAACCCCCGAGTGGCTGCAAACACCTAACTATAATCCTAATAGTGTATAAAAAGAAAAGAAACTAACTGATTCTGCACTACTCAATAAATGCAAAGTGAACCAACCTGCACATTGTAAATCATAAGGCAATACATAAAATACGTGACAAAGTATGATGATAAATAATAACGTGAGCAACAATAATTGTAAATAGATCACTCAATGAATAAACAGAAAAAATAATTAAACCGTAGACTGTACATAAAGGTGACAGTATACAAGCAAATCACAGAGCAAATCCCATTCGTGACCAAAAAAAGTGGGTAAGCAAATTAAAGTGAATGAGTAACATGGATCATATAAATATAAAGTTAAAAAAATGAAGGTGCGAAATGCAACAATAAAGTGCACAGTCCCAATAAATCTGTGTATCTTGAGCAAAAACTTGAAACATCCAGTGACCACTGCAAAAAAACACAATCCTCCACCAGCTGGCATGCGCACTCACCTCCAGGTTGCGATCCACAAGGGGTCATAAAACTTGTATGCACTCAGCCGATGATATCCCTGTATATCCCCTCAATACTTGTCAGGGCAATCCTCTTTGGTGGAGATGATGAGCACTCATAAGCGTGCCAGCAGTAGTGGCTCAGATGTCCCCTCATGGATATAGCCAAACACTCTCCTCTCCAATGACCCACACATGGAAATAAAATCAAAAACGTCCCATAGTGTAGTAAGCAAAAATATTTCTTGAATAAAAAAGGCAGAGTGACTACTCACATTAAAAAACAGGGTCCACAGACCCATACAGGCAAGTAAAACTGCAATAGCAGAGAGGTGTACCAAGATGGCGGCTGCCGTCCGTACCAGAAATGATGTCACCACACTTCCATCCTAGGCATTACGTCACGAATCACGTTACTTCCTCAGGGCTCAGGAAGTCCTGAGGAAGTCACATGATTCGTGACGTAACATCTAGGACAGAAGCGTGGTGATGTAATTTCCGGTACGGACGGCAGCCGCCATCTTGGTACACCTCAGTGTAATACACCTCTCTGCTATTGCAGTTTTACTTGCCTGTATAGGTCTGCGGACCCTGTTTTTAATGTGAGTAGTCACTCTGCCTTTTTTATTCAATAAATGTTTTTGCTTACTACACTGAGAAGTTTTTGATTTCATTTTCCATGTGTGGGTCATTGGAGAGGAGAGTGTTTGGCTATATCCGTGAGGGGACATCTGAGCCACTACTGCTAGCACGCTTATGAGTGCTCATCATCTCCACCATAGAGGATTGCCCTGACAAGTATTGAGGGGATATACAGGGATATCATCGGCTGAGTGCATACAAGTTTTATGACCCCTTGTGGGCCGTAGCCTGGAGGTGAGTGCGCATGCCAGCTGCTGGAGGATTTTATTGTTGCATTTCGCACATTCATTTGTTAACATTTGTTTTATATTTATATGATCCATGTTACTCATTCACTATAATTTGCTTACTCACTTTTTTTGGACACGAATGTTATTTGCTCTGTGATTTTCTTGTATACTATCACCTTTATGCACACTCTACGGGTTTATTTATTTTTTCTGTTTATTTATTGAGTGATCTATTTACAATTATTGTTGCTCACATATTAGTTATCACCATAATTTGTCACGTATTTTTTGTTTTGCCTAATGATTTACACTGTGCAGGTTGGTTCACTTTGCATTTATTGAGTAGTGCAGCATCATTGCCACCCCATCAGAGGAAGCTGAATTAAGTGGACTTCACTGGCAGGCTCAACTGGTATTGAAGTGAAGATGGATTTAAATGTTTTAAATTTTTTTTTTTAATAAGATGCCTTGAGTCTACTAACTGTGTATACATATTTGATATGACTACAGTGTTCAAAAGATTTACATCTATTTGTTTTTTTAAAGGTACGTTCTTCAATATTTGAACTTGCTCGGAAGACAAAGTATAATCTTTTGGAGCATTTAACAGTGACGATTGTTCTTCTATCATTGATCGATCTACTTGTTATATTCATACCATCAATGAAGGATATATTTGGTGCAATAGGTAAAAACCTTTTTCTATTTTTGGGCTTATAGGAAAATATTAAGCAACATATAAACATTAGATTTTTTTAGATTTTACTACAAATCAAGAATTTACTACAATCAAAGCGATTTTAATTAAAGTGAAACTAAACCCTCCAATCTTTTACTTCAAAGGAAGATGCCATTTGAGCGTCTGTTTGATCTGCAGTTGCACATGTGATTACCAGTCAATTGATGGCTTGACAGTTCGATTGACAGCACAAGCAACTGAGACAGTTATCATTCATGGCATGCCTTGATTGTAACTATTTTGGATAACAGTTGAATTAATGAATGTGGCTACGCTCAGATTTTTTGTTGTTCTTCTAAAGGTAACATACTACATTTTCTACACCTATTTACATCAGTGCCTACTGTATGGAAATTAATAAAATAATAATTGGACCTGATGCATTTGCTATGTTTCACCAATAAATATAAATGGTGGCTTCTCCTTCAGAAACCAGTTTGTTAGTTACTGATCTTATCTGGTCTATGTAACATTGAGATGAAGTTCTCACTACTGTATATGGGGGACAATGTGTTTAGGTGTGTAGTTCATAGTTTACTTTCCAAACTACATTCTGCAATTATAAATAAGACAAAACTCACAAAGTAAGTGACAGGTAACCCCACCTGCAATCACATAATAGAGTTTAGGCTTGGAAGGGATGCGCAGGAAATGGGTAAAGCTTCATGTCAGAAGGAAACCTACAGCCTGGTAAGTGTCAGTCTGCTGATCCAGAGAGGTTGGGTATGATACGTTTTGGGTGTATTTGAAAAGTATATTGTGTTGTAACCTCACTATACACCGTTCCACCCTCTGAACACAGTGCTGTACCAATCACAGTTTTGACATATTAGTAGAGAGAAGTTGTTGGTACCCTTGATACTTACGAATTCCACCTCTTTCAATGAATGGTCACATTTTTGCCAGTATGGGTAACAATAAGGGGATATACTTAAACTTAGCAAAGCTATATTTGCTATAAGGACCAAAAAATATAAAATGTGCATATATATATATAAAATGTGCATATATATATAATATAAAAAACACATATAAAAAGCACTAATACATGTTTTTTTTGCATCTATTATGCTAAATTGTTACTGTTAAGCAGGGGCAGACTGACCATTTGGAAACTACCCGAGGGCCCGGGGTCAGTAGGGGGCCCCATGAGATGCCCCTGGTACCTTTTTCATAAGCTTTTTTTAGTTTGGGCAAGGACACAGGGGCCCCATGATCCCCTATTGCCCGGGGGCCCGGGGTCAGTAGGGGGCCCCATGAGATGCCCCTGGTACCTTTTTCATAAGCTTTTTTTAGTTTGGGCAAGGACACAGGGGCCCCATGATCCCCTATTGCCCGGGGGCCCCATGAGTTGTCAGTCCGCCCCTGCTTTTAAGTCACCAAAGATTATTGAGTTGATGTATATCATTTTCTGCTTGGTAACTAACCCCCAAGATGTAACCATTTCATTCTGTTCATCATGCAGACAAGTATAAATGTGTATGAATGCATATATATATATATATATATATATATACTCACATCCATACAATATAATATGTATCACCTATATTCCTGGCTCACTCTATATGTTCTGCTATGTTTTACAGGTGCAACATCTGCCAACATGCTGATCTTTATTCTCCCCTCTTCCTTATACTTGAAAATTACTCAAGGAAATGATGCACTGGCTACTCAAAGATTATGTGTAAGTTTGCTTTTTATTGTCACTAGATGCCTTCATGATACTAAAAACATAAAACATTTTTTAAATACTGTATGTCCTATAGTACCTGATTCTTATTAGTGATCTTTTCCTCTTCTTTCTCTCCTTTTACTGGACTGAGTATAGATAAAAATCTTCAGAATTCCCACATTTCTACAAATAGGCTTGTGGGTTGCATTCAAGCACTAACTGAATACAGCTCATTTCTTAACAACCATAACTGTAAATTATACTAAAGATGGAATACTCAGAAATTGATTTCAGCAGTTACAGTAAAAAGATAAGAAAAGCTATGTATTTAAAGATATGGTTGCTAAGTATTTAAAGAGATGGTCTTCTAAAAAAGAAAGATGCTAGCAGGTATAACGTGTCAGCACCTACTGTAGATGTGTATCAAGCTTCAGGTTTTTTTCCTGGGCTGGGCAATGAGAGAAGAGAGTATTTCTACAGAAGGAAAGATGTGTTTCAGGTGCAAAAGTGCAAGAAAATGCATGTGTGTTTACAAGCACACACTTTTAAGTCAGTGAGAGCAACAAAAAAAAATGAAACCACATATGATCATGTACGTTTTTTGAGTGTAGAGTATAGGGTGACTGAGCATAAAGTATGAATGGAGGCTTAGAACATCCCAGCATTTGAACGTTGAGGAGGTTATTTACTAAAACTGGAAAGTGCAAAAGCTTAATTGAACAAGCTAAAGTTTGACGCTATCTATAATGCACAGCTGCACCAGATTCTGAGTGCACCAGTTTTAGTAAATCTACCCCTAGGTGTCTGCATTTTATACCTTTAACCACTTTACAACCACGCTATAGCCGAATGATGGCTACGGCGTGGTTGTCCAGGTGTGGGAGGGAGTCATATGACGTCCTTCCAGAACACACCCCAGCGGTGCGCATCCAGCGCTGTCAGTGAGCACTGTGTCCTACAGACACAGCTGGTCACATGACATGGTAACAGGCCAATCACAGCAGCCTTTTACCACGTGATCACCTGTGTCCAATGACACAGCAGATCACAAAGTAAATACAGTTGCCAGTTATCGGCAGCACTTTCTCACTCTGTCACAGCGGGAGGAAAGTACTGCCGATAACCGGCAAATGTCACAGAGGACACCTGCACTGATCATCAGGGCACTGATCATCAGTGCCCATCAGTGCTGCCTACCAGTGAGCATCAGTACCGCCCACCAGTGCCCATCAGTGCCACCCACCAGTGTCCAGCAGTGCCACTCATCAGTGCTACCAGTGTCGCCCAGCAGTTGCGCCCATCAGTGCCGTCCATTAGTGTCACCAGTCAGTGCTGTCAGTCAGTGCCGCCTGTCAGTGCCATCTATGAGTAAGTACCCATCAGTGCAACCTGTCAGTGCCCATCAATGCCCATCATTGCTGCATATCAGTGCAGCAGTATCAGTGCCTCCTCATCAATGCCCACCAGGCCCGCCTCATCAGTGCCACCTCATCAGTGCAGCCTATCAGTGCCCATCAGTGCTACCTATCCGTGCCACCTCATCAGTTCCCATTAGTGCTGCCTATCAGTGCTCACCAGTGCAGCCTCATCAATGTGCATCAGTGAAGGAAAAAAATTACCTGTTTGCAAAATTTTATAATAGAAAAAAAGAAACTTTTTTTTTTCAATATTGATGCTCTTTTTCGTTTATAGTGCAAAAAATAACCCCCAGTGGCTATTAAATACCACCAAACGAAAGCTGTATTTGTGTGAAAAAAATGATAAAAAGTTCATATGGGTACAATGTTGCATGACCGCGCAATTGTCATTCAAAGTGCAACAGCACTGAAAGCTGAAAATTGACCTGGGCACAAAGGGGGTAAAAGTGCCCGGTAGGCAAGTGGTTAAGCAGCTTTAACTTAAGCACTTTAGGGGCCTGTGTCGACAGGCTTTTGTTCTCTTCAGACAGGTTTTGCATTGCTATATACACTATATTGACAAAAGTATTGGGACACCCCTCCAAATTATTGGATTCAGGTGTTCCAATCACCTCCATGGCTACAGGTGTATAAAATCAAGCACCTAGGCATGCAGACTGCTTCTACAAACATTTGTGAAAGAATGGGTCGCTCTAAGGAGCTCAGGGAATTCAAGCGTGGTACCATGATAGGTTGTCACCTGTGCAATAAGTCCATTCTTGAAATTTCCTTGCTAATAAATATTCCATGGTTAACTGTTAGTGGTATTATAACAAAGTGGAAGCAACTGGGGACAACAGCAACTCAGCCACCAAGTGGAAAGCCACGTAAAATGACAGAGCGAGGTCAGTGCATGCTGAAGCACACAGTGCGCAATAGTCGCCAACTGTCTGCAGAGTCCATGGCTAAAGACCTCCAAACTTTGTGTGGCCTTCAGATTAGCACAACAATACAGCGTAGAGAGCTTCATGGAATGGGTTTCCATGGCCGGGCAGCTGCATCCAAGCCTTACATCACCAAGTGCAATGCAAAGCATCGGATGCAGTGGTGTAAAGCACACCGCCACTGGACTCTAAAGCAGTGGAGATGTGTTCTCTGGAGTGACGAATCACACTTCTCTGCAATCTGATGGATGTGTCTGGGTTTGGTGGTTGCCATGAGAATGGTACTTACCTGCCTGCATTGTGCCAAGTGTAAAGTTTGATGGAGGGGGGATTATGGTGTGGGGTTGTTTTTTCAGGGGTTGGGCTTGGCCCCTTAGTTCCAGTGAAGGGAACTCTTAAGGCATCAGCATACCAATACATAGACAATTTCATGCACCCAACTTTTGGGAACAGTTTGGGGATGGCCCCTTCCTTCCTGTTCCAACATGACTGTGTACAAAGCTCTTCGCTCCTCACAAGACCTCCTACTTTCTAGCTCCCTGGTCTCCTCCTCCCACGTCTGACTGCAGGACTTCTCCAGGACTTCCCCCATCCTCTGGAACTCACTACCCCAATCCATCAGACTGTCACCTACCCTCCTCACCTTTAGGCGAACCCTGAAAACCCATCTCTTCAGGAAAGCCTACCCCACCCTCACCTAACAGCCGATCTCCTCCACTCCTCCTACCACTCCATCCCCCACAGCCACTTCCTTCTGTACCACTATCCCCCCCTCCTAGATTGTAAGCTCGAAAAAGAGCAGGGCCCTCAAACCCCTCGTGTATTGTTTTGTTACTGTATTGTCTCATGTTCTGTCCCCCACTATAATGTACAGCACTGAGCAAACCTTTTGGCACTATATAAATACTGTATAATAATAATAATAAAGACATGGATGAGCGGGTTTGCACAGAGTCCTGATCTCAACCCTATAGAACACCTTTGGGATGAATTAGAGATGCGAGCCAGGCCTTCTCATCTGACATCAGTGCCTAACCTCACAAATGCGCTTCTGTAAACATGGTCAGACATTTCCATAGACACACTCATAAACCTTGTGGACAGCCTTCCCAGAAGAGTTGAAGCTGTTATAGCTGCAACTCAATATTGAACACCGTGGACTAAGATTGGGATGCCATTAAAGTTCATGTGTGTGTAAAGGCAGGCATCCCAATACTTTTAACAATATAGTGTATGTAAGTCTATGGTAGTGATAAATGTGCATGACACAGATTAACTGTAGGTCAGAAGGAGATTTACTGCTGGTCAAATGCACCTGTCAGTCCATTTTGAATGCTCTCAAAAGCATCTCAGACTGAAGTCAAACTGATGCCAATGACATAAGCCCAAAGCTCTTCAACACAGCCCCTAGCTGAACGTAACTTAGGGAAGAACTATTTCAGAAGTCTTTTCTTATCCCTCATTCACCTCTGTATCTATAAGCTATGAAGTTAATTTTTAAAGTTCACAATACAGGCATTTTTATTTGAGAGCAGATTTTGACAGGCTGCCAGACCTCTGATGTAAACAAAAGAAGGTGTTTCTAAAGTTTGTTTACACCAGCAGCCATGCTGGTCACATGACTCATGGTGTGTGCTGGCACAATAAACTGTGTCAATGCACTGATCCTGGAACTCTGCACTGTTTACTTTTTTCTTTCTTTGTTGAAACTTTATTGAATTATCACAAGTGACATTTCATTATGTTCTATTTGTTTCTATTTGTACTGCTGCATGCAGTACTTTTTTCAGTGGACACCGCTTCCACGCAGTGGTGTGAACTGTCCTCATAGAGAACAGGGTTTTTCCCTTGCCCTGTGTTGGAACTGTGTAAGTAAGGCTGCCCAGCTCAGTCCCAGGACACCTGGTGTGATTGAGCCCTAAGCTGGTGAAACCTGACTTTTGAATTTTTGTTGTGATCTTTGAGAATAAAAAAATCAAATTACTGGTGTTTTTCAATACCTGGAGAGCTGCAAGAGATGAGCACAGCCAGCCATACAATGAATGGCTGTAAGCGTATCTGAGGTCTTGTTATGTTTTCACAGTTGGCACTAAAATCTATGCAAAGTATAAACCACTACAGTGAACCATTGGGTGGAGGTTACCAGACTGTAATATCCATTTAACAACATACCTTACTTTCTCTTGCAGGCATTTGCTTTCTTTGCATTGGGTTTGCTGTTCTCCTTAGTAAGTATTCCTTTAGTGATCTATGACTGGGCTCATGGAGGAGGCAAAGAAAATGGAAACTAAGTATGACTACACAATGGCTGCTTACCTTCATTACCACAATCAAAGGCACAAACATTTCAGAAGGGAAAGTCTGCATACGTTATAGTCTATGTTTCTTTATCACAATGTCATTGCTATTTTATCATCCGACATTACGTTTCCTGTCTTTTTTGAACCTACAGTTGTATACACAACTGTACATCTATTCTACTCCTGGAGAGTTTTTGTGTAGTTTGCCTTTAACTTAATTGTTGTTGTAAATCACTGCAATGTATCCCACCGATGTCACCACTGTTGTTACCTGTAATGACATCCTTTAACACTGTCGATGGAACATGTACTCCACATCTTTTCTATTTATATATGTGTCTACATAGAGTAGTCATACATAGTGATATATATATATATATATATATATATATATATATATATATATATATATATATACACAATGTTATCATGTTCTTATCTAAATTCTGAAAAAGATGTAAATTACAACA